CCACCCACTACCTGTATAGGACCAGAAAAAATCTGCCTTACAAACACTCTGTACAAACCATCCCTCAGAGACAACCTCCAAACATCTAATATCAGGAGAAAAGACTTCCCATTTGAACCACACTTTTTTAAAACAAAAAACATCTCTATTCACCAACCAAGAGAGACTTAACTGTCGTAAATGTTGAGCTCCCTCACTTGGAATCCTACATGACTGTATTTTCAATACGTCGGACTGAATCTATGTTTGCCTAAGGCTTGTTTTCTGGGGGTGTTTTATTAACTTGTGATTTGTAAGTACAATATCCATTATAAAAAAACATGGTATTTCAGCTAACCTGTGAATAATTTTGAAAATGCCATGATGATCACATTCATAAACTGCTCAGGTGTTGGTGTTCAAAAGGGAAAAAGATAGAAAAATCAATTTATTGTTTACACTTTGAAATTTTACAACAAAACAATCTGAACATGTACCCATATACTGTAGTGAGTAGATCAAACAAAACTATATATTTAACAACCATGATTTTGGCAGAATTATCAACCTATGAAAACATTAGATAAAATTATATGAGTCACATACTTACCAGTTAAAACCTGTAGGCATCAGAGTGGTAAGGGGAGATAATACAAGGCCTCCCACTGTGAAACCACTCTACTTATAATGGCCATGATTGTGATAACTTAAATCATGACGGCCCTTGTGTGGTACTGGCAAACTCAAAATAACCATAATGTATTTACAGTATGACATATATCAGTCAAGGGCTTTAAACAAAATATCCTTTAGATCAAGCATTTTATAGAATGCAATGTCACAACTAGAAAAGAAGATTCTATTTCATTTCTTTGTACTGTGAAACTGGATATTTTCCCATGTTTTATATTGCATTTCCCTCATCCGAAAAACATTTTGAAAAATTTGAAGATACTTACATAAAGTGATATTTCCACTGAAGTAGAGTTTTGAAAAGGAAGGCAAAATCAAATGCAAATACAAACATTTAGCGGGCAAAAACAACGCATTGCGGTAAATGCAGATATGGTATGTTATCATTGTTAGCATTAACACAAAAATAAGAATTTGTTACACAAACATATAAAGTAAATAACAGAAATAATGAACTACATGTATTCAACAATTGTTTTCAACAAAAAAAGCAAAATCCTAAGCTCTATTTTACGTGATTTTCTATGTAATATTAGATTGGATACCTTAAGCACATATATTTTAATTACAGAATATATTGTTAAATCCTCCTTGTACCAATATGCAAAAATTAAGTGTACATCGGAGGTCGATTTTTTCGCAAAAGTTTTTTTTATATCAAATCATTTATTATTTTGTGACAACATTTGGATTTTTTTTTCATGAGAAATAAAATGATCATGTTATTATAATCATACAAAAAAAAAACAAATAATAACAAATGATAAGCACTGGTACCCAAAGATTATAATAAACCATAAATAGATAATTACTTTTCTGATTCCGGACACCCATTTGATGGAGACCACTTTGATAAAAGTACTATATACAAACAACACAAGTACAGTACATCAACCTGTGGAGGATTCTTCATACAGAAACTGTCAAATGCTGTTCCTGTTGGATACCTTATACATTTCATTTGTATAACAGAATCTACAATCTCATGCTGAAAAAAAAAGTAATCTGCAATACACTTACAAAATATGTAAAATATTCAACAGGAAACCATCAAAATAACCTTTATGTAACACACAACAAAAGTGTGGTAAGCAAGGTAACCAGCTAGGTATTAAAACAAATTTTAAAGTTTTTATCAGTAAATGTACACTTGTTGTCTTTGAAAACTAGTCTTTATGACAAGAAAATTAGAAAAAAAAATGATTGAAAATAATATGTGAAGCTAAATGCTTCAAAAACATGAAGGGGCTTGAGACGATAACATGTTTACACCAATTTAATAAATTTCATGTAAGCTACGGGTACCAAAACATTTACAACTCAATTTGATTCTCCAATCTGACAAATTACCTTTCTTTGAAAAATGCAACACATGCTGGTTTTACAACATTCTTTTTACAGGTACTGATATACCCAAATGTGAAAAGGTCCAAACACATTGTATATTGAAGTGACACATGACATCAGGACACAAACTATTTGATAATTCAGCACCTTTTTAAAGGGAACATTAAATACCAATCTTCACCATCCTTTCCAATGAAGTATATATGCGGTACTCTTTTGCCAGATGAACACTCAACATATATATATAACTATACTATCTCGATGTTTTTTTGTAAAAAGCAAAAGTTTTCATTGATATTGTAAGTTAAGATTTCGTTTTTTAAAAAGATAAAGGTTTCTTTTAAATAAATACCCAAGTATCGTTTTTCTCCGCTCTACCCAATAAAAAAGAAACACTAAAAAGAAAAGATATCCTTTCAAACTAAATTTCTTAATTTGAATCAAGTATCACTATTGAACAAAACTTGCTATATAAGAAATGAAAAAGTCCACCTTTAGAGATATGATTTGAAAATGGTCTTTACTCTAGAAACTGACATTTTACTCTACAAGGGAAAAACAACTTTAAAAAAAAAACTATTTGAAAGTTAAAATGTAGTCCATTGTCCGGTATTTTTTTTTCTGTAATTTTCAAAAATTATTTTCATAATATGCTGCAGAAATTTCTTCTTCAGAAATTTTGCCTAAAACTGTAAAACATATAAATAAATTGCGGTCCTGAATTCAGCATTCCAAATACAAGTATTCCCAAGTGAAAATAAATTCTTCCCATACCTTGTATTACAAAACAAAAAACATGAAATTCTTTAGGATTTATTTGTGCAGTTACTTTCTAAAATTAAGAAATTTAACAGATAAGAATATATTCTTGTTTTTAAATTTACATCGTGTACGTTTCCTAAAATGTTTTCGTGCCAAAGTGATCCTATCATCTGACCAAGTGTATGTATATATGCTGTAAGTGCCACACAGTATAAACAAGATATATCAAGATTTGCATATTACGTTTTCTTTCAGGGACATTATAACTCATAACTGAATAATGAAAGCAAGCAACAATACATATACCATCCTTGGTCTTAGTATTATCAACCCTTTCAACCCTATGTCACTTTAGTAGACTCTACCATGCATTGATCTGGATAAGTCCATTATGGTCTACAGTGGTGAAAGGGTGAAAGTCAATTCTAAGCAAACCTAATCTCAAGGTTTAATTCTGTCAATCATTCAAAAAACAAGTTAATATGCACCTCATTTAACTAAATCTCAGGGTCCTATTTACATTCAAACATAGACAAGGTACTTTAATCATTTAAAAACGGTTTTTTGTGTTTAATTGTGTTCAATCATTTTCTTCATCGAGAAACCAAAACTATAGCCATGTAATATAAAAACCGTAAAACATATCAATTGAGTTGACATAATATGGAGAAACTAACAAAATAATTCTGCATAACTCAGCCAATGCTACCTAATTAAAAATTGATTTGAAAATAAAGAAACAACAAAAGAAAAATTTGATCCTGATTTTAGCAAAATTATATTTTAGAAATATTTACATACTTAAAATTAATTGATGTTATACATTAACTGTATATTCTATAGGTATTTACCCATCTCTCGCATCAGGATAATTTATTGTTTAAAGAAAAAGTGAGGAAATGAAATTAAAAAATTATCAGTTAAACAACATTCTCACAGACCTGTTGAATTGTTTTTGAAGAAGGAAAATACTCACTGTTCTGACAGACACAATTTGCCTAAAAGGCTTTTTCACCAACATGTATCGACATATGGAAGACATTTGTAATTACCTTGTTTCAGTTGAAAATTCTCAAAAAATAATACAAAGGCTATATGATTATCTTATATAATACTTTTGAGCAAGCAGGTTCTCCGAATATCTGAAAACTATTTATTTTATACACAGGTTAATAACAAAGTACAATGTGTATGGCAAACAAAATAAGCCAGAATGAAGAATGACTTTTGATATCAAACACTTCTCCTTATATATGTACAGGCTTTTCTAACATCCTCGAAAAATAAGAACAAAATCAAATTACATTTTTATTGTGAGAAGCAGGGTTATCTGAACTTGATTAATATCGTCTATTAATTACGAACTTGTTCATCCTGTATTAAGAAAAGTCAGATATTTTCAAAGGATAACACTCAATGTTTTGGTAATCAAAGGAAAGACAATGCACAACAAATATGATTTTCAGAAATCAAAGCATTCAGATTTACGAGTACACGATACATGTATATGAAATATTACAGAGAGAAAATGGTATCCACTTTGAATCAAAAATAAATCATCAACTACTGGAAATATAATCTACACTGTTATCAGTCACAAATCACACTTCCTGCTTCATTATTACAATTTTTCATCTCTATATACTTCAAATTTGAACAACAAATGTGATGAATACAAAATAAAGGGTCGTTTATATACCAAAATTTGGTTGTAATTTTTAATCGATTTTCAAAAGTAAATAATTTTAACATGGCTGTCATTATGTGTTGTAAATCACTTCATTTTCATGTGTAAGTCATGTTTTGAACTATACACATAGGCTTTATTTGTTAATTCTACAATTCTCAATTGACAGAATATGATATTACAATGTTTACTGTAATTGCCGATGACATTTCCAAAAGAGTTCTATTTTCGAATGATTTTCGAATGAGTCTCTCGTAAAAATTAAGTCAATTACAGTAAATTGAAAATTATCCATTTTTTTTTATTTAAAAAATGCATTGTGTCTTTAAATAATTTTTAGAAGTGAAAACAAGATTGCAATTGTACTTTGAGATTGCTGTATAGGTATATATTTGATAACAACATGCAATGTTGGTAATAAGTCCTGCAAAGTTTTCCTTTGCTTAGTATTGTTCAACTCATTCATCCCTGAAGACACATTTGAACTCTTCCAATTCAAAGGTTGGAATAGTTCATTGTGAAATGTCAGGGGTGAATGAGTTAATGACAAAAATACATGTATTGTACAATGAACGTGAAGCTAAATAAAAAAAACACACATTTCAAACCCTACCACCCAATACTATGACAAGTTAAAGGTCTTATTCTGTTTTATCTTTCCATATGAAAATAAAATCTTTCAAAGAATACTTCTGGAATGCTCATTCTTTGGGGTTACAGATCTATCTGAATAGGCACCATTGATACAATTAAAAAGGCACATTCCATAATGTGCCTATAAACGTAAAGCAGATCAAAATCTTATATGAAATACAACATCATCGCAACCTTTAAAATCAGCTTTGATTATATGTATGTAAGCATACTATCTATGTATACAGAACAGAAATAAGGAAGTTTTTTTTTCTTTTCTAAACATTATAATGCTACGTGAAGAAATAATAAATCAAAAGGAGCTGGAAAGTCTGAATGTATTAGATATACAAATAAATTCAAAATTACACATTATACATACCAAGGTATATTTGAAACTGGATAACTAGTTTGAGAATCAATAAAAAAAGTAACAAAATAAGTCGGGTTCCTTTAAATACCACAACATTAACTGATTTAAAATCCAACACAGCGATTAGGGCAAAATTTGAGGAAAAAACACTCATCTAGTCAGAAAATTCCATTTAAAATTAACTGTTTTGTCCAAGTATGTCCAAATGAACATGGACAAAGCGAGATTCAGATACAGAAAGATACAAAAGAGTTAAACTATAGAACCAACATGAGGACAACACAAAATGTTCTAAAACAATATTCAGTGCATCTTGCCTTTGAATATTTAAGGATTGATAGTAGGCATTTATTAGCATTACATTTACATTAAGTGTGTTATAGATATAGGCCAGTACGCAATATGAAACATCTACTTTGAAACATTAGAAGTTGGTGCTTTGAAAGAAGAAGAAAAAGGTGGAATTTAACTTCACAAAGGCCTAACAAAACACAAAGATCAGATGAAATAAACACATGTTGGCTTTTCTTTGTAACCAAAATGTGCTGTTTTCATGAAAAAAAATCTTAAGCTTCTTACTCAAACAAGAGTATAAAAATATTCTTGTACAACTCTGGACAAAAAATCATAAACCAGCTCTGAATTTGACAGAGCCAAGACACATTTAAGTAGATTGACACACAGTTATTTTTAAAACTTAAAACAATTAGCATCACAGTTGTCTTGTGGAATATCTTACGCCTTCCATGCGTTGCTTTCTCCGATGTTTTCTCTTTCCTCCAGCGTCCCGTCGTCATGTCTACAGTGTGTGGTAGTTGCGTTCCTTCCTTGCCTTGTAGAACTTGCAGCCAAAGAAAGCTATAGCGATGACCCCCACGGCCAGGATGATTCCACCGACGAATGATGCCCCGTCAAAATGTTGCATGCCTGTGTTGCTGGCCGGAGTTGGAGCTGGAGCTGGAGTTGTCGGAGCTGGAGTTGTCGGAGCCGGAGCTGGAGTTGTCGGAGCTGGAGTTGTTATTATTGGTGATGCTACATAGAGAAAAGTTACCAAAGTTTTGTAATGAAATACATAGAACTTCTAATGTTCTTAAATATAATGAAGAATGCAGAACATTTTTGACACTTTTTAAACTTCAAACCATTCCTTTAAACAAAAGTGCTTTGGACTAGTGTTGTTCTCTTCCAAAGCTTTTTTACTCGAATTCCTCAAAATTTTCAAACATCATTTTTTTCATCATCCTAATGACAGTGACATCTGCTAAGGTATTACCTACAACTGAGTATGGTACTCGCTATTAATGAGGAAAATACAGGTGAATATGACGTTGACCTTTTACAGAATTTCAATATGTGCCATCTACATGTGGATGTAACAAGTAAGACAGAAAAGACTCGAAACAACAACAAAATCTTCAAAAATGTATTTCCGCACTATACTTTCCTGTTAACATATATATGTTCAATGTGTTCCCTTAAATAAATTTAAGAAATCTTTGAAAATCTTTGGACAACCTGCTTTTCAAACAAAAGACCCAAGGGCCTTAGCGGTCACCTGAGTTATATCATAGGTACTGGTAGCTTTATTTTATTGTTTAGATGTGATGTGGAAATCAGCATGTAAACTAAGTGAAATACAATACTTGTCGTGTCATCAAAGGATAAGAATTTGAAAATATTGGTAAATGTTCCCTTAGGGGCCCCGCCCTAGCCCCTGGGGATGGGGCAGGAATCCCAATTTTACAAAGTAATACTCTCATTCACCAAAGATGATTCTGACTAAGTTTGAGTAATTTTCTGCTGAAAATGGATAAAATACACCCAAAAGTGTCATTTCCCTATATAAACTATAGTAAACTTTACCCCCTCCCTAAGGGTGAACGGATAGCTCAGGGGTCCTGAAATTAACAATTTAAGTAAAGCCCCTGATAATGTTTCTTTCCATGCAGAGAAAATGACTGTAGTACCTCTAAGTCTGGAGAAGATTTTTTTTGAAATATTGGTTAATTTTCCCTTTGGGGCCCCGCCCTGGCCCCAGGGGTTCGGGTAGGAATCTCAAGTTTACAATTGTGTAGCCTCATCTACCAAGGATGATTCTGACCAAGTTTGAAAAAAATCAATCCACTGGTTCTTGAGAAGAAGCTGAAAATGTAAAAAGTTTACGCACGACGGACTACGACGGACGAAAAGCGATTAGAATAGGTCACTAGAGCAAAGCTCAGGTGACCTAAAAAGGGGATGTCCTCCTTTTCAAAGTCGGATGTTTGATGAAATATGTCAAATTAGGGTTGTTTCATTTTTTTCCCAAATATTGAAAATAAAGTAATCTGAGGGAGAATAAATCCAAATTTTCATTGAAATGAAATCAACATTTGACCCCAAACACTTGAATTATTTTTGATAAATCTGTAAGTATGTGACAGACATATTTACATATAAATAATAAATAGTATTTTTTACTTACGTGTAGAAGCACCACCACCTACAATGAAAAAGATATACTTTCATAAGAAATATATCACTATATATACTGGTATTTATAAAAAGAACGTATCATTGTTCCTTAAAAAAGACACTATTTTAAAAGACTGTGATATCATTGGTGACTTGAGTTTTGCAATGTTCCAGTCCATCAAACATTTATTAATCTTCAGAAAATCAACCATGAATTTTCTTCCTCTTCTTCTTACAAAACGTTAAAGACTTCTTAACCCAAATTACAGACATTGAATTGACCACGTCATGTCTGCTGACCAGTGTATTTAAGCCCCTTGCATTTGCAGAAACAACCTAGCCATGAAATATGTCACATGTAATGTGGCTAAAATTCACTTATCTAGGATTGGAATTCTTTCCAAGGATTGATAAATATATGTATATTCGGACACAAACATATATAACTGACACATCTGTGCCTCACCTGTTCATGATTATATAGTCAGCAAAAAAAAGTCAATGCACTTGGAGCCCAAACAGAAAGAGACCTTTTCTATACATCACATGTACACTTATTGAATAGCAAGCAAATACATTGATTGTTTAATTTAAGCAAACTCTTAAACAAAATTTAAGCACCCCGAGCGGAAGCATGATAGCCAATGATACCCTCAGAAGGGTGTTTATGACGCAAGCTATTTCAATTTGTGTTTCAGAATTACACTTTCCTGGTCAATGTTGCTATTACAAAATTTGAAAGGAATTAAACAAATAATTAAATAGATTTTGCATTTTCGATGGAATGCACTTAATTGGCAATGAAAAAGGGAAATAACTCTGCCGAATAGCGTTTAAATGTCACGATTTAAGAACTCATCCAATGCATTCAGGTAATAAAACATCCCTTCAAGTTTGACAAAAATTGAAGAGCAATTGTTTGAATTATCGCGTAAACAAGCAAAAGTTAACATCAAAAACGATGAACAGTGTTGCTATGTCGAGTGTGATATGCCAAAACGCGGAAAGTTAAAACTCGACAGAAAAACCCATAAAATATGTTTAACATTATTGCTTCTAGTATTACTATACAAAATTTGAAAGGAATTAGTTACAAAATACTACACAATGTCCGTATTTAGCAATAAAAGGGGCATAACTCCACCAAAGTAAAGTTATGCAGGGTCACTAAATATTTAGTGCATTGAAGAACACATGTACATAAAAAAAAATCAGCAAAATGAGATTTTTTTGTATGTAATCGTTATCAATATCAAATAGGTAGGGAATTCTTTATTCTTATATTTTTTTTAAGTGATGGTATCAATTTATCACAGATTTACGATACGATGTTTACTAATTTGAAGGAGATTTACAAACAAATTACTTTTCCTGGTATACTGTACATACAGATTGTATATCATATAGTTTCTGAAATTTTTCAACCATTTCAATCACTGCTATCTAAGGCTGGTGTTCATGTGAAACTTCATACTTACAAAGATTGTCTTTGACGGTACAGGTTTCTTTTGAAGCAGTACTTGCCATACACACCTCTGCAGAAAGAAATTGGTATAAATGTAATCCAATGATTTTTTTGGAGGATGATATGCAAATTTGTTTATTCATAACGGTACGACTTTGTGGAGTTGTTACATGTAAAATGTCTGTATGATACCTGTGTGTAACCAAACTGGGCCATAATACACTGTTTTAACTACAGCACTTGATGTAATTTTATGGATGCATAAAATTTGTCATGAAATATGGTGGCTAGAGTGATGACAAAGAGTGTGTCTAAAAAACAGGCAGACAGGACATGATCTAACACCACAAGCCAGGCAGGGAGTTTATCTACGATTGAGTTTAGTAGACAAGTGGAATAGACAAGCCGTGGAGGGCTATTCAGCACAGTACAAACACTGATGTATACATCAGCTTTGTTCCCCAATAACTAAATGTGCCGTCTGAAACCAACATTTGCAATCTGCAATGTTATATGAACATAATTATGGTTGATAAATACCGAGTTTGTTTGAACACAAAAGGTAATTGAAATCTTCTTTTGTATGCTTTCGAAAATATCTGTTTCCTTTGTCAAGCAAAGAGTGCAAAATGACCGGTGCCTTGAAATGACAAGGAAAGAGCGCAAATAAAAACATTTTAGATAGCACATCGAAGTGACCCTAAAACTGTTAATTATTGTATATATATAATCATTTAGGTAGCAGTGTACAGTAGCGTACGGTGGCAATATGGGTGATATTTTTATTAATATTACATTTATCAAAACTTTGAAAAAAAAATCAGCTCTAAAATTGGCATTTACATGATGAATTGGACTATGTGGGCTTCACATTTAAAGAAAAGAAAAATCGAATTTGGCTTGAGACTCCATTTTTCGCCATTTACAAATCTGTGTCTACACAACAAAACCTAGCTTTTCATGTAGTCTATTTTTGTACTCGGCACATGTGTAAATATTGTGAAAAATCCAGTTGAACGACCTATGCTATAACGTGAGTATTTCTGTTACCGAGTAGGTGATATTTGATTTAAGACCTGAAGGTTTTAAGAAAAAAAATACTACTTGTGTGGGTCAAATTTTGGGTCACAAATCATGTTTTTTTTTGCATTTTTTTGGCGTTTTTTGATGTGGTAACTAACCATGGTTTTCACAAGTCCCAAATCTGGGGAAATCACTTTTTGAAATAGAAATCATTCTTCTAAACAAAACCTGTTCAAAATGTAGTTTATAAATATATATATATATGTAGGTGTGTTGTGCAGGATGAATCCGCTATCCATGTTTATCCGAGACATGGCCTTTATTTTTAGGATCAAGCCATTTCTACTGTACTCTGCTACCTTAATGTTAACAAATTACAGCTGTAAACCTCTGCTTCATTTACACTACATAAAATTAACTTGACAACTTAACTATATCCCTGATTTTGTTTTCCAGGGAGTTATTCCTCTATCAGCCATGAGATAGTCTTAAAACTAAAACATCCCTGCAAACCATATTTTAACTCACTAAACACTAGAGTAAAATTTTGACATGGTTGATAAGACATCAAAAACTTTTACATACTGCAGTCAAACGAAATAACAATATACATTTGTTGTACCATATGGACATTTCAGTAATACAAAATAAACCATTATAATGAGTTGAAAATTAATTATTTTATTCATTTTTTTTCAGTTTTTCTATATCTGATTTTCTTTTCTTTTTAATATAACATTACAATAAATGAAATGCCACTTATATTTACTAAACGAGTAATTATATGGATTAGTGTGAAAGTATGTGTGAAAGGGGAATGTATTATGCATAATGAAATGTATATATTATTGTAATGTGAAAAATACTTTGAAAATAAACATATACAAAAAACAATATATAAAATCCTTACTTACCTGTACCAGTACAGTTGATCCACATACAGGCGTTACCTGTTATGTTGCAGCATGTGTCGTTGGTCTTCTCACTAGTACATGTATCTATAGAAAACAAACATCATCATTTGGTATCTTCAGGGTTTGCTGACGAATTTCACATCTGTTTTCTTTCGATGTGCCAATGGTACTTATAACTTCAACATTACCAGTACTCGTGTAACTTTATTTACAAAAGTGTTCCAAATGCGATTGGCTATATTTTTCTAAACAGAACATATAACACAAAACTGATTCTCATTATCAGCATCACAAATATGGTAATATAATTGACCATAATTAACGAGAGCTACTGTTATCACATACAGAAGCAGTACCATTTATACAACTATCTCATACATTCAGACAACAACAAATGTATCTTATTATGACATCATTATGAACAAATTTGGAGCACAGGAAGAAAAATTGATCTGCACGACAAATGCTTCCTTGCATGGCCCTTGTTCATCTATATCTATGCGTGCCCTGGCCTCCCTTGACAAAAAACCTTAGAAGGAGTATGCTTTATAGATCATTGTAAAGACAGTGATTAATCTTACCATGTTACAAAGAAACTGATAGAAAACTGAACAAGATTGTTACCCTGAAAATGGGCCCCAAAAATACTGAAAACAGGTTTTATGTAAAAAAAAAAAAAAAAAAAAAGGCACACCTTGAGGGAAATAATGAGAAATAATTTTGTATGAAAGAGGTCATACACTTATTAGTCCGGCTAATATTTATGAAACACCCCCGGAATCCCATGTAACAGGAAAATTGTTTTGGATTTGTGTAGCCCAACATAACCCGAGTTCTCAATCTATGATAGTGTATACTTGTGTAACAACAGAAGGTGATTATGAGGTACTTACCGATGGGAGCTGGAGTAGGGGTCCCTGGGAGTACACCTACAGAAACAAATTATAACCATTACAATTATCTACCTTTTATAAGATCCTGGACTAGACTTCTTTCATTAGTTTCATTTTCATTACATGAAAAATTACAGTGCAAGACAAATAGTATACTAGTCTAGTAACATGGTGACAGCTGAATTTATACAAAAAAAACCTAACAATTCTTAAGCAGGATATATATTAAAGAAATGTTAAACCAATTTTCTTAAAATCACGACTGAATAACTAGACAAGATATTACAATTTGAAAAATATCTTTAAGTTTGCAAATCATTATCCATAATGGCCATTTTGAAATTCAATTACATTTGTTATATATATATTATACATGTCCTCTACATCAGCGTTCCTTGTCCGCGATGCTCTCAGCTTAATTGCTGCCTTCGGCTGTCTTTAGCCGAGGGGACTATATATTGGTTTTATATAATAGCTATATTTTCAATTATAGTATATCAATTCTATCTTCTTGTAATATGATGTATTTGTACATGTAACTGTTCTGTTTCACTATGTCTTGAAAAAGGAGCGGATCCCTCCGAAAATTTGACAACCTAAACTTGTCCACACTGTTGGAATTACTTCTTTGCCCCATATATTATATATATATATCTGTTGATAAAACACCATATTAAAAGCTATTTCACTTGCCATGAATTCAATGATTGTTAAAATATGTTGAAGAAGAACCATTATTGTATCTGTTTATCAAGGAGTTTTATGTCCGTTCCCCCCTGCTGTTGTTCTTTGAGACTTACATGTATCCTGTGGTGTGTTGGGAGCTGTACAGTTGGTCAGGGTGGAGGTGGTGTTTGAGACACATTGTCCTGCAACATAGAAATCAGTAATTTTCAACCAACATCTTCAACCTCATAAATTGATGCCATATTTGTAATATACAAATTAATGTATAAATATATCTTCAATATTTTATCCATTAAACAATACACAGAACCAACAACAATAAGTAAACTATGAAAAACCAGAGATGGTGTCGAAGCCACCAAATTCTTCCCTGTTAAAAATTTGTATCGTATTAAAATATTTGTTTGTAAAAATGTAAAGTTCAAAACAGGTCAAAATTGTAAAAAAAAAATTATGTCATTTTCAAATTTTAACTTCACTTCATCAATATTTTACCGCACAGGAACCTCTATGCAAAATATCAACACCCTAGTACACAAATTTAATGAATGGCAAGCTTCTAAATAACTTGCAGGTAAAACTTCAATGTTGATGTGCTTAAAAAAGTTAAGTCCAAAACAGGTAAACAAATTTCAAAATTTCAAAATTATTTGTTAATTTTCACTTCACTGTATCAATATTATACCCCTCAGGAACCTCAATGCCAAATATCAGCATCCTAGTACATAAATGAAATGTATGACAAGCTTTTAAATAACTTGCAGGTAAAACTTTAACGTTGATGTGGTTAAAAAAAGTAAAGTACAAAACAGGTGGAAAATTTCAAAAATTTGTGAAATTATTTTTGAATTGAACTTCACTACATCAATAGCATACCCCACAGGAACCTCCATGCCAAATATCAGCATTCTAGTACATAAATGTAATGAATGACAAGTTAAGCTTCTAAATAACTTGCAGGTAAAACTTTAACATTTTCACGCTAACGCAGGGGGTAACGCTGTAGCTCTCTGTTCTTCAAACAGGCGAGCTAAAAATGAACATGAAATTGACATCCACATGTTTCTATTATCAATTTCGATTTAAAAACTTATCATCAGTGTGCAAAACAAAGAAATCTGATGTATAAACTGATAATCTTCTACAGCCACTGAGTCTGCAGGGTTTCTCACTCTTGTAGGAGTCATTGGAGAAACCAAGTTAGTTGTTAAATATCTTTGGTAACCAACTGGTGGGTATCACATGCAACCCGCAAGTCATTGCATTAGTCAATTGTTGAATTATGACATATTGTGACGTTATGTTTCATAGCATTTGTTTCTCTGATTGGAAACAAATAATTTACTAAATATCCTTTATCAGTCAGAGTATCTCCAGATGTGATTACTCACCCTCCCCAGTCAGTGTATCACCAGCTGTGATTACTTACCCTCCACAGTCAGTGTATTACCAGCTGTGATTACTTACCCTCCACAGTCAGCGGATCATCAACTGTAATTATTTACCCTCCCCAGTCAGTGTATCACTAGCTGTGATTACTTACCCTCCCCAGTCAGTGTATCCCCAGCTGTGATTACTTTCCCTCCCCAGTCAGTGTATCACCAGCTGTGATTACTTGCCCTCCCCAGTCAGTGTATCACCAGCTGTGATTACTTGCCCTCCCCAGTCAGTGTATCACCAGCTGTGATTACTTACCCTCCACAGTCAGTGTATCACCAGCTCTGATTACTTACCCTCCACAGTCAGTGTATTACCAGCTGTGATTACTTACCCTCCACAGTCAGCGTATCATCAACTGTAATTATTTACCCTCCCCAGTCAGTGTATCACCAGCTGTGATTACTTACCCTCCACAGTCAGTGTATCACCAGCTGTGATTACTTCCCCTCCCCAGTCAGTGTATCTCCAGCTGTGATTACTTAACCTCCCCAGTCAGTGTATCACCAGCTGTGATTACTTCCCCTCCCCAGTCAGTGTATTACCAGCTGTGATTACTTACCCTCCACAGTAAGTGTATCTCCAGCTGTGATTACTTACCCTCCCCAGTCAGTGTATCTCCAGATGTGATTACTTACCCTCCCCAGTCAGTGTATTACTAGCTGTGATTACTTAACCTCCACAGTCAGTGTATTACCAGCTGTGATTACTTACCCTCCTCAGTCAGTGTATCCCCAGCTGTGATTACTTACCCTCCACAGTCAGTGTATTACCAGCTGTGATTACTTACCCTCCACAGTAAGTGTATCTCCAGCTGTGATTACTTACCCTCCCGAGTCAGTGTATCTCCAGCTGTGATTACTTACCCTCCCGAGTCAGTGTATCTCCAGCTGTGATTACTTACCCTCCCGAGTCAGTGTATCTCCAGCTGTGATTACTTACCCTCCTCAGTCAGTGTATCACCAGCTGTGATTACTTACCCTCCCAAGTCAGTGTCTCACTAGCTGTGATTACTTACCCTCCACAGTCAGTGTATTACCAGCTGTGATTACTTACCCTCCACAGTAAGTGTATCTCCAGCTGTGATTACTTACCCTCCCCAGGCAGTGTATCTCCAGCTGTGATTACTTACCCTCCCCAGTCAGCGTATCTCCAGCTGTGATTACTTACCCTCCCCAGGCAGTGTATCTCCAGCTGTGATTACTTACCCTCCTCAGTCAGTGTATCACCCGCTGTGATTACTTACCCTCCCCAGTCAGTATATCCCCAGCTGTGATTACTTACCCTCCCCAGTCAGCGTATCTCCAGCTGTGATTACTTACCCTCCCCAGGCAGTGTATCTCCAGCTGTGATTACTTACCCTCCTCAGTCAGTGTATCTCCAGCTGTGATTACTTAACCTCCCCAGTCAGTGTATCACCAGCTGTGATTACTTACACTCCCAAGTCAGTGTCTCACTAGCTGTGATTACTTACCCTCCCCAGTCAGTGTATCACCAGCTGTGATTACTTACCATCTCCAGTCAGTGTATCTCCAACTTTACACTGGTACCAGCCACAGGTAGCATTTCCACAACAAGTCGTGTTGTCTGTCAATAGACTGCAGCTATCTATGAATACAAATTGCAACTTTTGATGATTTTTTTCGAAATTATTCACTCTAGTTTTTCATATATACAGTAACCTCCCTTAGCTTTTACTTCCATTTGGATATTACTGTACAGTTGGGCCTAGACATTTCCATTAACTAGGTAACCCAGTCGGTTAGAGTGATAGTGTAACAGTCTGGAGTCCTGGGTTTGAATCTAAATATATCAAATGAAACATCTTATTCTGATAGGTACATTGTAGTATATCATAAATGACCTATATATGTTGAATGTGGTTAAAATTTAACTTTATTTGGTGCTTGCAGTGACAGAGTCTAAATCAAACAAATCAAAATTTTATGACGCAAAAATACATCGCCGCAACATCCAGATAACAGCAAACCATCTTCCAACTTGTTTATTATGCATTAATTACTAACTTCTGTCGACTTTATTTTCATGACAGTGAAACTTGGATTTGCTTATTTTTGAGCAGGAATAACACACTTCATAAATAACATGTCAATAAAAGTGTGTGTTCAGCTGCAGGTCTCATTAATTTTCACTGTTTTCCTATGAGCTGTTGTACTAGTGTTGTTCAAGCGTACACAAGTGTACAGGTATGTCGCAACGCTATACAGCAAGTAAAGGGGGTAAATGATCTTACAAACATGGTCTCCTGTACAGCCAGGTAAAAAGTAATACAACAGGTTGTATATTGATGGAATCTGAAAACAACTTGAACCATACTGACATGTTTTCAGTAAATACGTGTGTATAAACAAAGACTATATGCCATTGGATGATTCAACATTCATTTAACCACACAACCATGCAGGGATCCAAAGAAAATTCCCCTGTTCTTTGTAATCTCCCCTGTGTGCTTCAAAATTCCATTTCAACCAAAAAATAGCCCTTTTCTCTTCAAAATATTTCCCCTTTATATGTTTTCTTTAAGGTTCAACAGTTAAAATGCATAACACTGCATATATATATTTTCTCGACATAATTTAAACAAAAGTTCTACAATTTTAAGCTAAAAATTCTTTAAAAATTGAAATATATTGCACACAGGTATGTCTGACAAAACATTTATCTTTTACCTTCATGACGCTAGAGCCTTGTATCAACACTTTAATTTCCCCCAAATCTGAAAAAGGGTAACTTCCCCTAAATCCTAGATTGATCCCTGACAACTTAATTGTAATGGAATGGACTGATGGAGTAAGGGGCCGCGGGTGGCCGAGTGTTTAACAAACAGTAAAGGCATTCGAAAGCACCAAATTTTAGCACACGTAATCATCAATTCCAAAATTTGACACACCAAAAAAGCTACCCTGTTTTGAGCTAAAAACGCCAAATTATGGCCATGCCAAAATATTCCAAACACATCTGGAGTATATTTGTTGGTCAATTCATTGTACAGGTCACAAACTATAAGTGAACATTAACATAGTAGGCTGTCAAAATGCAATAGAATTCCAAAAGTATAGTTCTCTAATCATTGTGCTATCATTACTCTCTGAAAAATAAAGGACTAGAAAAAACTTTTCTGATGTAAAATGGGAAAAAAATGATTCCTTGTAACGTACTTGTGATGGCGGGTTATCAAACTCTGGCTATAATTTGTTAACTTTAACATATCATACATTTTATAAGCCGAGTGAAGAAGAAGATTTCAGACATAATAGCTATACGGTACCAGACTCATTTAAAAAAAAAAAAAGTAAATAAATCAAATATAAAGAAGTATAATAACATTTATTACATACTTACTAATANTACATGTACCAGACTCATTTAAAAAAAAAAAAAAAAAGTAAATAAATCAAATATGAAGAAGTATAATAACATTTATTACATACTTACTAACAAATACGTTTTTTTTGCATATGTGATACGACACAATTTCTCTAATCCATATCAGCCCTTGCCATATCACCCCCCAAACCCTGTATCACCCCCCGCCGTACCACACCCCAAAACCTGTATCAGTCCTCACCGAATCAGCCCGCAAAACCTGTATCAACCCCCTCCGTACCACACCCCAAAACCTGTATCAGTCCTCACCGAATCAGCCCGCAAAACCTGTATCAACCCCCTCCGTACCGCACCCCAAAACCTGTATCAGTCCTCACCGTATCAGCCCGCAAAACCTGTATCAACCCCCGCCGTACCACACCCCAAAACTTGTATCAGTCCTCTCCGTATCAGCCCGCAAAACCTGTATCAACCCCCGCCGTACCGCAACCCAAAACCTGTATCAGTCCTCTCCGTATCAGCCCGCAAAACCTGTATCACACCCCTTTTGAAAATTTTACGTTTTTCAATATTTCAAAAGAAAAATAGATCATAAGGTAGTAGCTTTTATTAGTAAGTATGTAATAAACAGAATAAAACACACCTTGTTCCATATCACACCCAGTATAAACCCTCGACCAATATCAGACCTCGGGCTGATATTGCAGTCTCGGTTGATACTTGGTGTGATATGAAAAATGGCATGTATTATTCTCCATTTATCATAGCTGTAATCTGCACAATAAAGAATAGGAGAAATACCTCATTTGTAACTTTCACCTTATGAACAAAACACACCACCATGTTAGAAGCAAATAATTTTTGACAGAATCCTTTGTAATGTTTAAAGCACTTGTCTGTACTGAGAAGGAACACATATGTGAACTTTTTATACACTAAATGTCCTTATAACTGAAATAATCATTCAATCAATTAACAGTAATATACAAGTATTGCTGAAATAGTTTACTGTTTATATTCAATAAGATTCATCAGTTTGGAAGTATGTGATATCAAAGTTTTACTTTTTAAACAAACAATGTAGGTATTAACCGTGTCGCAACATTTCAAGACCGACTGGTCCCTTTGCCAGGCTATGACTGAGTGATTGAGTCATAGCTTGACAAAGGGACCAGTTGGTCTTGAAACGTTGCGACACATTATAATACATACATTGTTTGTGTAAAAAGTAAAACTTTGATATTTTACTGTTTATAGGTTGTTGTTTTTTTATATATATATATATATATATTTGGAATGTTCTGAAACAATTCTAATTTTCTTAAATTTCAAAATAGTGTCAAGAAAGTTTAGTTTATAATAAGTAGATCAAATATGGTAGTAACTTACAACCACCAGAAATTTGAATTATTGATCTACCTGGTATATTATAATTACTGGTAAATGTAGACCAGAAAGTATCATAAGGTAATAGAGTGGTATGGTTAATAAACATTAGGAATTAAACCCATCTATTCTAACTTGTGAAAAGTGCAGCTTGGCTGGTAATTAATGGAGGAAAATATCAGGTAAAAATGGACAAATACAGAATTAATGAAACATTCAGATCTTTGACATGACGAAGTTTGGGTAACCCCAGGAGAATTTGTTAAGCCTACCACCACTGAAGCAACCACTGAAGACATAGCAAAGAACACACATGAATAACAGTCTGCGGATGTCGATATGAAAACCTATTTTTTGTATACAAACCTGTGTCACCTATTTCTCCTGGGAGCATTTAATCATAGGAATATACAGTTATAGGTGTCAATACAAAATCATAAACAACAGGGAAAATTACTCTATCCCACATATACTAGTGATATTGTGTCAATAATAATCTTCCGAGACATTATCATTAAAATTTTGGGACAATTTGGTATATCTATAGAGACTTAAGAAAAGCGAGGACACTCTAGAGTTGAACATGCTGGATAATACAGTCTTCACATAAGGTTTTAATGTATGTAAACGAGGGGCTTTAAATTAAACTGTTACCGTAGAAACGAGGAGTATTACATTATTATTTAACTGTATATAATCTAAGGGCATTATATTTAAGTGTTAGAGTAGAATCCAGGAAGAGTATACATGTACCCAGATTTTACTGTATATTAACTGGTAACATTATGCCATAGTTTTACATTAAATAAAGAAAGGGCTGTATATAGTGGCATTGCCATGGAATTTTAAATATTTTGATACGACTAGTCACTATTGACAAGTGTTACAATTGTATATTGTATCTTACCTATGGGTGCTTCACCTGTGGGGACAGGAAAAAAAAAGACACAATTTAGAAATTTCAAAAAGAATCAAATCATGAGGCATTTGTAGTACAACAAAACTTATAGCATGGCCGGCCATAACAATCATAACAATACGACTAAATGTATCCTGTGCACACTGCTAACATCAAACAATGATTCAACAGGTTCAAGTCTTTGATCGAGACTTGACCAAATTTACCATTTGCCATTTTAGCCAAACCTATATATGTTTAACCAATGCATGAACAACATGTACATTGTACATGAGCTTAGACCCACAAGACAAGACAAGACAAGATTTTATTCTTTTAAACCACAATATACATGTGATATTAAGAAAATATACAATGGGTACATTCAAGATAGAGTACGTGCTGTTTTTAACCAGGAGAACGGACTCCCTCTATAACTATATTAATATATTTGCATATTTTAACTAAACTTAATCGATTCCAACCCAAACCATCAGAATCATGTGAAACCTAAAACAATCAAATCTTATGTGCACCATAACTGACCAATACTTTGTATAAAATGACCAATTCTATCAGACTTACTTTGTATAAACTGACCAATACAATCACACCTTACTTTGTATAAACTGACCGATACACTCACATCTTACTTTGTATAAACTGACCAATACAATCACACCTTATTTTGTATAAACTGACCAATACAATTACATCTTACTTTGCATAAACTGACCAATACAATCACGTACACCTTACTTTGTATAAACTGACCAATACACTCACACCTTACTTTGTATAAACTGACCAATACAATCACACCTTACTTTATATAAACTGACCAATACAATCACACCTTACTATGTATAAACTGACCAATACAATCAGACCTTACTTTGTATAAACTGACCAATACAATCACACCTTACTTTGTATAAACTGACCAATACAATTACATCTTACTTTGTATAAACTGACCAATACAATTACATCTTACTTTGTATAAATTGACCAATACAATCACGTACACCTTACTTTGTTTAAACTGACCAATACAATCATACCTTACTTTGTACAAACTGACCAATACAATCATACCTTACTACATATAAACTGACCAATACAATCAAACCTTACTTTGTATAAACTGACCAATACAATCACACCTTACTATGTATAAACAGACCAATACAATCAGACCTTTCTTTGTATAAACTGACCAATACAATCACACCTTACTTTGTATAAACTGACCAATACAATCACACCTTACTTTGTAAAAAATGACCAATACAATGAAACCTTACTATGTATAAACTGACCAATACAATCAAACCTTACTTTTTATAAACTGACTAATACAATCACACCTAACTTTGTGAAAAATGACCAATACAATCAAACCTTACTATGTTTAAACTGACCAATACAATCAAACCTTACTTTTTATAAACTGACTAATACAATCACACCTTAGTTTGTATAAACTGACCAATACATAAACTGACCAAAACAATCACACCTAACTTTGTATAAACTGACCAATACAATCAAACCTTACTATGTTTAAACTGACCAATACAATCAAACCTTACTTTTTATAAACAGACCAATACAATCACACCTTAGTTTGTATAAAGTGACCAATACAATCAGACCTTACTTTGTATAAACTAATCAATACAATCAAACCTTACTTTTTATAAACTGACTAATACAATTACATCTTACTTTGTATAAACTGCCAATACAATCAGACCTTACTTTTTATAAACTGACTAATACAATCACACCTTACTTTGTATAAACTGACCAATACATAAACTGACCAAAACAATCACACCTTACTTTGTGAAAAATGACCAATACAATCAAACCTTACTTTTTATAAACTGACTAATACAATCACACCTTAGTTTGTATAAAGTGACCAATACAGTCCGACCTTACTACGTATATACTGACCAAAACAATAAGACCTTACCATGTATCAACTTTGTATAAACTGTTATACATTATTTAAAATAGAATTGTTAAATGCAAAGTTTAAACTGTTGTCAGACCCAAAAAAGACTAGGATATATAAATGATCTTTCATGAGTTTCCATTTCATATGAGATTTTTGAAACGTGTATAAGAATTTTTGAGTTTAGCAAGCCTCTGGCGAGCTAAAATGAAGACTTTGTGACGATTTCATAAATTTATATGAAATGAAAACAAGTGTAAGATCCTTTTTGTCACATAATCAAGATCTGTGGCATTTATTCCTGTAAAACGACAATTTTCATGCAACCCTGAATTAGAAATGTTAAAAGCCGCCCTTTTGACTCCAGTGCAGTCTGTGATGTCATGTACTTGTCCTAGGCGTGACGTCACAATGGAAACAATTGAAACTTAAAACCAATCATGATCACAGGGCTGATAGGTCATATTACATGGGTTAATACACAAAAAATATGACATGGGTATAGCCACTGGATAACACAGTACATTATGTGATAAAAATAAAAAATATAGTATTTGAAATTTTCCTTATATAATTTTAACGAAGTTGGTTGTTTATGTTATAGTCGAGACATGTACTTACATTTGCTTTTTCTGTCTGCCACTTCAGTGCTGTTTGAACAGGTTGTGTTAATGGCAGTTGTGTCAGTCTGGTTCAGACACACTACACAGAAACAAACATAAATACAGGTAATTAACTTATTTACATTTGAATATTGTGATCAAATCAGATCTACTCTAAAGAGCTTTATTGTCTTCAACAAACACATGAAAAATCCAAGCAGTGACTTTTTTTTCATCAAAAGCAGAATAACAGCCTTTTTCCCAGAGAATTTTCAACATTATTTCCTTACCCCAATCAATATTCCTCCTCCCCCTCCCCTCAAAACTTTTATAATAAACAAGCATTCTGTGGGTATTGATGATTCAATACATGTCCCCCCCCCCAACTTTAACCTGCAGATTTTGGCAGAGGTTGGTAAGTCGAAAACATGTCAAAAAATAAAAAATAGAAAAATCATTTTCCACTGGTCACTATACAACATTAATGCTAGACCCCTAAAGAACCCCTGTACATAAAATCAGCATCCTAACACTATTATGTAAGTGAATGGTGAGCCATTACAAAACGTTAACCCAAATTTTAACCTGCAGATTTTGGCCAAGATAGTTAAATCCAAAACATGTAAAAATAAATCCAAAAAAATAGGACATATTTTCCATTTTCAATACACAGCGAAATGGTAGACCCCTATAGAACCTTTATGCAAAGAATCAACATCCTAACGTCATTATTAAGCGAATGGTAAGCCATTAAAAAACTTTAACCAAAACCTTAACCAAAGGTAATTACATTTTGTATGTTATGTATATATATATAGCTATCTCAAGACAGCTATAGACTTCAAGCAGGATCAAATTTGTGGTGTTTTTTTTAAATATCTGGTCATTAAAAATCAATTTCTTCAACAAGCATATTGGATAGATTGACAGATAGGCATGTAGACAGACAAAGCGAAATCCTATCACAGTCCGTCTTCACTCATATCTTATTTTGAGAACAATAATGATCATATGTTCTCTGTATTCAGTGATTGACAAACGCTATATATATTTACCTGTGATGACAAACGTTATATATTTTTACCTGTGATGACAAACATTATATATATGGGTATATATATTTACCTGTGATGACAAACGTTATATATATGGGTATATATATACATATTATATATATACATATTTACCTGTGATGACAAACGTTATATATTTTTACCTGTGATGACAAACATTATATATATGGGTATATATATTTACCTGTGATGACAAACGTTATATATATGGGTATAGATATACATATTTACCTGTGATGACAAACGTTACATATATTTACACGTGATGACAAACGTATTATATATATACACCTGTGATGACAAACTTAATATATATATATGCCTGTGATGACAAACATTCTATATATTTACCTGTGACATTTGCACTGTTTCCTAGACACTCGAACCAACCACAGCTAGAGACAGCACAGCATGATGTTGCATTTGTATTGGCCGTACAGGCATCTGTAACGTAAACATGTAAAACTTAAATAATATTTTATATATAAAGTACTGGGTATATTCAAACTATATGTGCAATCTACTTTCGCTTAGTTTCAACTCTTCTTCAGTAGAATAGAATATTACAGTAAGAAATGTATTGTGTTAAGATATATATAGATATTTGAAATTTCGAAAATACAAATCTAAATGTAACATAAATCACAAATGCTACAATGTACCAGGTAAAGCCGTAGTGTATAATATAGAAGTAAACACTTTTAATTGAATTATTTTTATATCTGTATTTATGGCAAAGGTAACATACACTACATAATTATATACCAGCCATTACATATAGATTTATCTATTATATAAATATGGCAGTTATTTCCAAATTATCATATTACATAAACCAGCTTTGATTAAATTCAGTATTGCAATTTGCATTTCAGATCACAATCAATAGCACTATGCCTATTTCAGATATATGAAATAAATTCCTTTCAACTGTAAATAAGCATGTCATATATATATATATGTGTGTGTATGATCCGATAGAGATACACACATAATTGTGATAGAAAAAGAAAACTGCAACAGTCTGACCAGGATCCAAACCCAGGACTGCCGAATTCTAGGCAGTGCATACTCGAACCAATTGTGCTATTTTTTACCCAGTATTTGCCTCCAATATACAGTTAAACTCATCCAATCATTTTATGAAAAACGTCAAAGCTGAATTTATCATTGCCTTACTTCAAGTCAAGGAAATTGCACCCAATCTTAATTACCACAAGAAATTAAATTCAAAACAGACTCACATACAGATGCTGGAAGTTGGATATTATATGAATATTTACATTTCTTATCTTGACTTTTACCTTATGAACACATTTTTTCCATCTTTTTCTGTACGGGTTTTAAAAAGTTGTTTTCTATAAACCCACATATCCATTATTCAAGTTCTGTATTTTTTTAACATTTAAGAAAGGTAGTCGAAAAGCTATGACCATATCTAGATCTGGGGCTATATCTAATCCCGCACACTGGTCATTACATATGTACATGTATCTTGTTGATTTAAAATATGCTCCAAGTAAGTAAAGACTGATATGATATGTCTGTACCTGCTCTATTGGTCGGCAAATTTTCTTGTAGGCAACAAAAGTCAAGTTATAAACTTTTTTCACATTGCCTGACAGGTAAATTGTAAACCGATCAGTCATATTTTCTTGGCTTGAGAAAGATATTCCACAAGTCTCAATCTCTAAAATGTTGCGATACATCTCGGCTACTCGGTATGTACATTGTACATATAAATTGCTTCCATAAAAAAAGAAAACATCAATACATTAAGGGTGAATGCACAGTTGCTTTTTGTTCCTCACAGTATCTGTAAGAAGAGCGTTGCAAGGCTGCCACAAACAAAACAAAACTCACCTGCAGTTTCAACAGCAATTGGAGCTGAAACAGAGAGAAATCAATCCGTAATAATTAGATTTGTTGTAATTAATATTTCATCTGAAGATCTTATAAACAATTTGACTTCATTGATAAGTACTTATTTTTTGGTATACATACAAATACAAGAGACCTGTTATTAGTTATATGGTGTTGTAAAATGCATCTTAAATATCTGTGACCTTCAAAGTAGGTTGTGGTCAAAGATATTTAAACAAAAATTAACAGCAAGAAAGCCGACACTTTAAGGCTAATTAAGGGTCGCTGTATCAATGCCAAAAAATGTAACTACACATTGAAAACTGTTTTTTTTCTTTAAATAAATCATTTCTTAATTGAAAACCAAATATTGTGGGACTTTTATGAAAAATAACAAGAGGCCCAATGGGCCTGCATCGCTCACCTGGTATTAATCTCACAATTGTAACCTTAACAGAGGACTAAAATAAAGCTACAGGCAAAATATCAGCGTCTTGACTTAAAGTTTTAAGTAATTCAGAAAAAATTGGCAAAGTTCATTCATTTGAACAAACTTGGTAGCCCTTCATCCCAGCATGATACTGGCCAAATATCATCACCCTAGGCCTCTCAGTTATTCAGAAGAAGTCGTTTAAAGGTTTTAAACATATTTGACCCCAGTGACCTTGAATATAAATCAAGGTCATTTATTTGAACAAACTTGGTACCCCTTCATCCAAGCATGTTACTGGCCAAATATCACCCTAGGCCTCTCGGTTATTCAGAAGAAGTCGTTTAAAGGTTTTAAACATATTTGACCCCTGTGACCTTGAATATAAATCAAGGTCATTTATTTGAACAAACTTGGTAGCCCTTCATCCCAGCATGTTACTGGCCAAATATCATCACCCTAGGCCTCTCGGTTATTCAGAAGAAGTCGTTTAAAGGTTTTAAACATATTTGACCCCAGTGACCTTGAATATAAATCAAGGTCATTTATTTGAACAAACTTGGTAGCCCTTCATCCCAGCATGTTACTGGCCAAATATCATCACCCTAGGCCTCTCGGTTATTCAGAAGAAGTCGTTTAAAGGTTTTAAACATATTTGACCCCAGTGACCTTGAATATAAATCAAGGTCATTTATTTGAACAAACTTGGTACCCCTTCATCCAAGCATGTTACTGGCCAAATATCGCCCTAGGCCTCTCGGTAATTCAGAAGAAGTCGTTTAAAGGTTTTAAACAAATTTGACCCCAGTGACCTTGAATATAAATCAAGGTCATTTATTTGAACAAACTTGGTAGCCATTCATCTCAGCATGTTACTGGCCAAATATCATCACCCTAGGCCTCTTAGTTATTCAGAAGAAGTCGTTTAAAGGTTTTAAAGATATTTGACTCCAGTGACCTTGAATATAAATCAAGGTCATTTATTTGAACAAACTTGGTAGCCCTTCATCCAAGCATGTTACTGGCCAAATATCATCATACTAGGCCGCTCAGTTATTTTAAAGAAGTTGTTTAAAGGTTTTAAACATATTTGACCCCTGTGACCTTGAATATAGGTCAAGGTCATTTATTTGAACAAACTTAGTAGGCCTTCATCCCAGCATGTTACTGGTCAAAGACCATCACCCTAGGCCTCTCGGTAATTCAGAAGAAGTTGTTTAAAGATTTTAACATATTTGACCCCTGTGACCTTGAAAATGGTTGAAGGTCATTTATTTGAACAAACTCGGTAGCCCTTTATCCCAGCATGCTTCTGGCCAAATATCATTACCCTAGCCCTTTTGGTTACTGAGAAGAAGTTGTTTTAAAAAAGTTGACGACGGACGGACGATGGACGGATGGACGCCGCACCATGCCATAAGCTCACTAGGCCCTTCGGGCCAGGTGAGCTATTAAAAAATGAAATATATATACATACTGACTATTCAACAATAGTGTTCCAAGTGTAAAAATTCAGTCGGGATGGACTGGATTGGAAGCCCGGACTTCAGATTGTTATACAGTATTACTTGAACTAACTGAACCACCTAGTAAATGTAACAGATGTGCACAGATTACAGTCCTGATTCAACTGTTCTACATGTACAGACTAGTTACATCTAAAATGAAATTAAGGGGAGGTTACTGTATATATGCAATATCACAGTAGTTATAATTGAGCGAACTTGATGGTGAGTCATGCCATACAGTTAGTGCTAGACCACAAGTTACTGCTCCAGATCTATAAAATATAGTTGGCATGTTTAACTCATGACTAAAGAGTTGGTCATGAAAGTCATTTTTTGGGACAAACTTAACAACCGCTCAGTATTTCACCCGCAAGCTTAACAGACAGCATCATTACTCTAGATCTATTGCTTATTAAAAAGAAGTATTTTTTAGCATTTAATACATTCGACCCCTTTGAAAAGTAGTTAAAGACAAAAAAATAATTAATTTCAAAATATTTTATTAAATCAATCAGATTTAATGTTCAGTTCAGTTCAGTTCAAGACTATTCATTTTAACATGATAGTATTTCAATCTGGCATGCTATATATATGCTTAATAGCATGACCCTATGCCTCTTGGTTTTGGTTTTTCAGAAGAAACTGTTGAAATATTTTGTCTCATTTCATCTATATGACATTGAAAGTAGGCAAAGGTCATTTATGCCCTTCACATTAGAATGCTATAGACCAAACATCATGTCTTGACATTTTTGTTGTTTTCACACATACAGTTGTCCATCAAGTGAATTTTTTCACATATTTGACCCCTGAATCATAAAAGTGGTTCAAGGTCATTCATTTGACAAACTTGACAGCCTTTCACACTAGCATGCTACTCTTTGTTATTCAGTAGAAGTTGCTTTAAGTTTTTAACTCATTTGACCAATGACCTTGAAAGCACACCTTCAGTTTAGTTATATAATATGTACACAGTTAAATTCCCTTGCCATAACAATGATCAAGACCTGAGTCAAATCCCTTTTGTTGTTCTGGGCTAAACGCGTACCGCCGCGGTACGTTGAGAAGGAGAGGTTGACGACGTGCGGATTACAAATGACAACAGACACTGCACCACAGAATGATGCTCACTTTAATTAATTGACCTATTTTTTGGATAGGAGATCTAAAAAGATATTGGATGCCATAGCGCATGGCCCATTATAATAATACCCTAGTGGGGTTGATAATTCCTTAAAGGGATTATCATTCAGTCATATTGTTCACGATATAGACAGCATCTACGTGTATATATCTACCTGTGACTATCAACAACATGTACTACTAGATAAAAAAAACTCATCAAACAAACACCTTTACTTCCTAATGATAAATAGCAGACTGGGTTTATCTATGACTACAGCAGTCAACAATACCCATATATAGCTTACTTTCTTCCTGTCGGTCTCCTATTTCAGGGCTTGAGGAAGACTTTATTTTTCGACATCATTTACTTCTTTTTGAAATCAGCAGAATACCATTTATTTTAACTTTGTCCTGGGGTTTTCATGTCCTATTATGCAAACTTTTTATTTGGCAAAACATAACATGATATGCATGAATATGTCTTAAACTTCTTAGACTTTATGTTATAGCCCAGCCTGCAGTTCTATCGGTGTGATCAGTTCTGACTCAGTGATTCATTTCAAGTGCGTACTTGTAATACATTTTAAGCAAAAGGATATACATGTATATAAGCCCACATGTCGCTCAGTAACAATTTAGATGTACATATTTTAACAGAAACAGCTATATGCTATCCATTTATTCATAGAAGATTAAATATCTGTGGTCCTCGGATTGTGAATGCACAAATATATTTTGTACTTCCGTTTTTATGTGTGAATTAGTTAATCAAATGATGGGATTTGAACAAAACATATCTAAATATCAAATGCTTTTCAAAATTAATAAAAAAAAACATACTACACCCTGTAAAATATAGTTGTGTTATCAGGGATTATCCTAGAGGGGGCAATAAGGCCATGCATAAAAATTGACCCCTCAAAAGTGAAATTGACCCCTCCAAATTCCAATTTTCTATTTATTTTACATAAAATGGCCCATCTTACTTTTGATATGGACTAAAAGATGCTGAAAATGGCTCACTGGTCTCAAATTCTACTATTTTCCCTGAAGATCATCTCATAATTTTTTAAACACTCCTGCAGTCATAACCCATCTCACTCAATTTTTCCTGTTTCTTTCAGAATAACAGTGATTGTTGAACTTCCTCAGGCGAGTCCTAAACATTGTTTTCAAAATATTGATGATTTCCATTACCACAGTGGATTGGATTCTCAAAACATGGGTGGGTCCTACATGAATTTACAAAAGTCCAGAATTTAAATATCTACGCAATAAAAATCTCTTTAATAAGATAATTAAGTGTACACAAATCATGAAATGAACGCTTGATCAATAGCAGGATATGTCAAGTTCACACTCGTTTCAAATAAAGTATGTAGAATTTGATAAAGAATCACATATATATCACAATATTGACATGAAATGTATGCAGTATACCAAGTTTCCTAATGCTAAAAATCATTTAATCGAAAAAAAACCTAACAGCTGGTGCAAATTATTAAATGTCTTTGTAATTTCCTGTGATAGGTCTGGTCTTGTTCCGTGAATGAATGAACCACAAACACATGTTACAATTGATTTTAAGAATTGATGCACACCTCATCCACTATTAAGCCAGGCCATATTAGTGTGTCTGTCCATATCCAGGGGTAAAGAAATTTCCTCCTTTTGGGTTAAGACTAAGACTGTAAAATCTCAACGCTCCAGGTAATATTCCTATGTCGTGGAAGCTAGCCTCAGTCTTGCTATTCCGTCTTTGCGTATTGCAGAGTTATCTTCTCTTGGGAGCAGGAATTGACTGTTATGTAACTTGTTTGTGAGAGTATCGTCATCAATTTTTGAGAAAATGACGCAATTTTCTCACACAAACCAATGACGTAACAATCAATACCTGCTCCCAAGAGAAGATAACCCTGCAATACCCAAAGACGGAATAGGAATATAATTACCTGATCCTGGCTAAATGAGACTTTTCTGTTTTCTACTTACAGACACATAATGTTATAGACATACTGTGTACATGAACAGCTACTGTCTGTGGATTAGCACTACAGTATACAGGGAAATAATCGCCCAGTCAAACTTTCACCCTTTCGCTCAGTATGATGGTTACTTCTATTTATTCTAATGATAAAGCTTCCCTCATTATGGAGGGTTAAAAAGTCGAAGTTAAATTGAAGTGAAAATGTTCAGTATTATACCCTGCTGTTTAATGAGTCACAAAAGCTTAACTGACAATAAAATCCAGGATCTGAATACAATAAGGACAAAGAAACGTCTGTGATTATTTTTATCAGTTTCTAATGTAGCATTTACTAATTGAAAGGCTTAATTTGTTACATATAATAAGCAGTGGTTTAAAGACATAGTTTGAACTAAAAGATTTTCATTCCTATAGTATAATCAAACATCATTTTTCCTTTTTTTAGCATTCTGGGATATTTCAGTTATGAATTCACATATATAGCCCAGAACCTCAGCAATTTAAAAAAATACACTGAATTCTAAAATCTTGAGAAGCCACCTAACGTCCACCTGTTCATACTTAATTCCTCTAAAAACCATATACACTAAAACCTTTAACTTTGACAAATTCCTCTTGTTTAAACAAAAATATTTCTTATAGAAGTCAGAGGTCAAAAAATCTTTTCTTTCTTATCACTTCAACTGCACTGCATTAAAATATATAATTACATTATGTATCTACAGCTTATTAGACCTTAAGAAACCTTCCTGCCAATTTAAATATTAGCATCATAATACAGGATTCATTTTCGTTCAGGAAATTTTCAGGAGTAAACTACAAATTTTGCACTAAACATTATGCAATGCAAGGATTTGAAATGCGAGACAGAAAAAAAGAGCAGAGACCTTAAATGCTACATGTATTTCTATACTGTACATGCGAGTGGCAGCTAGCCTCGATCTGTCTCTTAAAGTCTAGCATCAATTGATAACTGTCCAAGTTTTCTTAGGAGTTTGTCACTCGTTTGATATTTTGTATTTACGGTGGGTTTTTTCTGGTGACTTTTTGACACGATAATGGACCCCATTCCCAATTGAAACTTTTCATATTGCAGCCTAGCTAATTACCAAAATTTGTAGTTTACTCCTGAAAATTTCCTGAACGAAAATGAATCCTGTATTATGATGCTAATATTTAAATTGGCAGGAAGGTTTCTTAAGGTCTAATAAGCTGTACATACAATACTGCATGACAAGTGTCAAAATATTTTCCTTAAGTTCACTAAAGTAATTTTATGTTTGGATAATTGTACTTATATTGATAATGTCAAGGACATGTATGTGCGTCGTGTAGTTTTTCCCTTAGATGTAGTTTCGGTTTGTCACTATAAGCTATAGCTAGTGGAGTCCTTCTGTTGAAGTACGGTTTCTTGCACTGCTAAACAATCTCTATAATGTTTAATGCTATGTAGCTCTTGTCATTAAAACTTACATATGATCAACAATCTACAAACAACTTCCACGTTGTAATCGAATCACCCGATCATGTCATAACCACATGATCACACGTTACGCATGTAAATTACGTCCTTCTTCAAGTTCTTGTACCAGAGATTTTAGTGATAAATATAACTGACACTTACTTGTTACACAATGTAAACTTACCTGACAGCAGCAGGATGATGGATAAAATGGCCGCGGGTACCAAAACAATTTGATTCATTGTCAAATCGAGCTAGTTTCGTTTATAACCACAAGTTAATTTGTTCCTTACAAAACAGGAAGTACGTATGCAGGCCTATAGCACTAACAGGAAGTTGCTTGTTATTAAAAAAGGATTAAAATATAATAATGGTTATCTCCCTTCGATTATAGAGCATGGACCCTTATGAAAGTATATTTGTATCGGGTTTTACAATTTTTGTGATATCGAAAATGATTAATTTGTTTAATTACCATCCATCCTAAAGAAATCTATCACAATCTATATTTATCAATAACATCTGGAAAGTATTTATAAGGTGCGTTCGCTTACAGGGTGCACTGAGAAGGACACTTTAGGCATACTTAGACAGCAATAGGCCTCTTTATTTAGGAGGCAAAGGTAATCAACTAAGGCTGATTATATAAGCAAATTTCAGACTGTTCTTTGTATTGAACATGTAAAGAGTATTTTTTATAAGGTTAAGAGATGATAACTCCAGTTGCACACATCAGATAAATGGAATGGACGGTAAATGTGTGTCAACCGTGAGATATGAGTTCCTCCTCAGAAATGATTTATTAAAGCTATGGACGTTTTATAATGCTTATTGATATTTCAAAAAACAATATTTATCCTGAATGTATTATACAGTTGTACTCCAGTTGGCTGATTTTACCAAATCAAATTTGTTTAGACCAGTTTCACTTTTTTTGCGGGGAACGAGGTAATCTAATTCCGTGCTTATACTCACTGTCTGTATTAGGTTAACCAAATACTTGATAACATATTTATTATTCCTCCCGCCTACTGCTTCCAAAATAAATAAATAAAGTCTAAAACAATAGCCCTTTTTCGACAATTTTATTTATTTTTGTTATTTTCATTATCATTTTTATGAAAAAATTACTAGTCTACATATCATATTTATCCATTAGAGTACTTATATCTTGCAAAACGAAATGTTTTCTGATAAAATGTCACATATATCAAAATACAGAATAAAGCTTATGCAATACATACAGTGTACTTGAACTGCAGAACCATACATGTATAAAACTCTTATAACGATGTATTTCTATCGGTTTTACTCATTAAAATTGAGATAAATATGCTCCCCATCTCTTTAAAATGCAGAGTATTGATTCAAACATATTGCATATCTATAGTTATAAATACACATATCAAAATATTTACTAGAAATACAAATATATGTATGTGTGCTATTGAAATTCTGATACTGTATCTATAAATATACATAAATTATATTACATATATCACAGGAACCTGAGAATTTGTACATTTTGTATACCGTGGTATATATGATCATAGGGGGTGTCATTTTTACCAAAAGTCGATCTAAACCCCTAAACATGTAAAAAAATACTCTGAACACCTTAGTTTAATTTAGGACCAAATATATCTGTAACAAATTATCAGGTCCCTGTGACATATACATTAGAAATGTCTTAAAAATTACACTTTTTTGTTATTGACATTTGTATTTTTCCTATAAAAAGAGATGAATTAACGTGTGATAAGTAAAAACCTTAAAAGTTGTTCACATACTTTGCATATAGCAGTTGTTTCACGAAACCAAAAATAATGTCGGTCTTTTACAAACATTTTACGACATATCTATATTCTTCTTCCAAATAAGCAATGTGTAAATATGCTAAATTAACGTTTCCTTGCTAATAATCAAAACATTTGAGAAAACGACGTAATTTTCTCACACAAACCAATGACGTAACAATCAATACCAGCTCACAAGAGAAGATAACTCTGCAATACGCTAAGACGGAGTAGTTTGTATAGACTGATAAGACTGCATTAATCAAAAGAGTATTACAATAGTGACAGAATATATCACAACGTTTAACCGTTACTTAATCTCACTTCCATAACAACAGTCGCAGTATTGGACAATTTAATTGACACATTAGGAAAATATCTCATAATATAACATATACATGTAGGTTTAATGACTTTGACTAAATCATGTTGTCATTTATTTATATGACGTCATCATATATTGTTGTAAATGAACAAAAATCAACAAACGTAAAAGTGATTTTTAAAAAATACATTATAATGTGAAACAGACCAAACATACAGTGAACTGGACAAAATATGAATGAAATGAATACTTATTCCGTCTTTGCGTATTGCAGAGTTATCTTCTCTTGTGATTAGGTATTGATTGTTACGTCATTGGTTTGTGAGAGTAACGTCATCAATTTTTGAGAAAACGACGTTTTTTTTTTCACACAAACCAATGACGTAACAATCAATATCTGCCAACAAGAGAAGATAACTCTGCAATACGCAAAGACGGAATATATAATGCTCTACTCTTATTATTCTATTTATATCTATATTTTTAAGTATAATTTACTCAAGTGATCACGAATAAATTTGTTTTCGCCACCATTGATATCTAGTATGCTGTGGATTTTCAAGACACGCACATGCACTTATGAATGAGATCTGTGACTTCATATAGAGTCACGTCTTTGCGCCATCTACGTCTTCTTAAATGCACATCAGAAGGAGGCTTTTTGAAAAGTTCGAATAAATTACCTCGAACCCTCTCAATATTCCACCGACGGTGTTTGCAGGTTGCCCGACCTGCGGAGTAAAACAAGGGATATGTGTAAGCAAAACTGAGCTGATATTGATTTAAGGATATAAGTCACCTTAGTGTTAAATGCGTCTCCTTTTCCAGAAGAGTTCTACAGTAAGGCACTCGTGAAAGATATTTGATTTTATATACGTTTTTATTCACTTTAATTTATTTTACGAATATTAATCTGACTTCGGTTAATTAATAACTTTCGGGTAAATCTGTATTATTAGAAACTGCTGTAAGATTTATCACAGCTATAAGGAACCATACGTATCAACAATTCAATTATCTTTTATTTTCTAAATTTTAAACTTATTACTTTTTTATTCGTGATCAGGCGTGATTTATGTTTATGTTGTTTATAACAACTTCTTTGATAGTTTGGTCTGTTATACATTATAAACATGTTTGTGATATTAAACATTGTATCTGTAATTGAAATGTTTATCATGTACGCAAACAGTAAAACACTGGAAGGACCGGTTACAGTTTTTGACTTCTCGTGTTAATAAACAGAAGCTTGATTAGCTTAAGTCAGCGAACCGATCCCGATAGCATGTATGGAAATTATGCAATTCTTTAAAATTATATTTCTACATCTAAATCCTCATCAAATCTTATAGTTTACACAATTTGTACATTTCACATAATATAATACTCGATTTTATCGCAAGCATCACAATTAATCAACTGGTAAGATTGAAATAAATATTCGTTTTTACTTTTTTATTATCATCTTCTCCTTGATCTGCCTTAAAAAGATAATAAGAAGAAGTAAGGGAAAAAATGTAGAAAAAAATATAAAAGGAAAAAAAGGATATATATAAAAATCTTTACAACCCTACCGTTGGAAGTTTAAAATAAGACCATAAATCGAACTGGTTTATTGATTAATGGACTAAAACAGCATCTCTCTGTTCGTTTGTGAAAAATAGTATTATTGAGGATATTAATTTTACGAAACAAAATATTTGGTGGTAATTCAATGATAACCTACAGAATCGATCAATTATGCGTTTTAATGATGTTCTTGAAAGGTAAACACGGAAAGCAAGTTAATCCTAACACTCCGGTTTAAAAAAACAATCCAGAACAAAATATGTCCCAGAGTAAAAAATAAAAAGGAATCAACTCCAATGATAGAAAATAAATCATGATCACTACAAGTGAAAATTAAGGAAACAGTTCTTTTTCTATCCGGTGCTCAGAAAGTCAAACACACTAAACCTTTTTTGCATCATACGGGTACTTCGTCCGTTTAAAACTCATCAATGGTACATAAGGTATTAAAGTATTCTGAAACATGAATAGGTACTGAGGTAAGGGAATCTTTGAAATCCTTTATAACATTACGTATTGACATTTTTCGGCTACAGCGGGTGTTTTACTTTACGTTAGTATTTTAAACTATTTCTTAATGTAAACTGTCCCAGAATTAATCTCAGCAACAAGTTAATACCAGAACTTAAGTGACTGGAAATCAAATTATCTAGATTATCCAGCTTCCTGATAACCATATTCCGAATTCACGGAGTTCCACTGAATGTCCCCTTGATAATATATCATATATTTTATTACAATGTACATGTCTATAGTAGCAAAACCCGAGTTTCCTTTGGCCCCGACACCAGACTTAGACATTTCATGTAGCATTGCTCAAATATTGATAATTTAGAAAAGAGGAGGCCATTAACTCAAGCACATGTGTATTGAGGGAGAATTGGTGTGTGTGTGTGTGAGAGAGAGAGAGAGGAAACAAAGACCAATGCAATTTTACGTAATCTTAATATCTACGTCATAGAGTTCAAATTGCTGTACCCTTTGCGCCGACGACATAAGTAGCAAACTCCAAACATTATCGATACGAGAACAACACCGAGGGCTATGCCACCGGCGAATGATCCACCGTCAAAACCTGACGAAGTCTTGGCAGGCCGTAGTGTCGTGGGTATAGTTATTGGAATCAATGACGTCTTTTCCCTGGGTGTTTCAGTGGTTCCTGTATAGTTGGCAGCAGGTCCGATCGTTATCGTAGAGTTGTCTGCTGGTAGTGTCACAGTTGTGCCGTTTTCACTGGGCGGAAGTGTCACAGTTGTGCCGTTTTCACTGGGCGGAAGTGTCACAGTTGTGCCGTTTTCACTGGGCGGAAGTGTAGAGGTTTCGTTACTTATCGGAATGGTGATATCCGTGACAATTGCTGCGAATATGAAATAAATAGATAGTGTATTTATATATAGTCATTGATGTAAGTAGGAGCTGTGGATATTCTAGGTTGTTGTCGATTGGGCGCCGTAGGTCATTATAGTTAAAGGCCCGGATCGGGCACCAGTCAAAAATTGTCATCCTTGGCCATTTGTACACTGTATTTCTATGAAATATATCTATATTAAAACTGCTCAGATATTTTGGTCAGGGAGGTTTACTTCTATGATTGGCCAACATTCACGAACCATGGAAAAGACGTGCGATACGTTTAAACGGTACAAACCCAAAATACAGCGTCAAGCTTGCCTTCAAAAGTTCCTTTACATTTTCGGAGTGAGCTCCTATTTTCGAGGACATACTTTTCATTATGCAATGCAATTTATTAAAATAAAAATGTACGAAACAACATATTCTAACATTTCAAAAAGTAATCTCTCTTCCCTTCTTTACGTATGAATGAGTAGTGAGTCAGATTTGAGTAGAGAACATGCAATTGTCAAATCTGACCAATTTGCAGTTTAAAATATCGCCTATGTAGGTTCAATGTGTCGAGATTGTAATTATATAGAGTGAAGACAAATGATCAACTGAAGTATTTATCAAACAAACAAACAGGAATCTTAAAATCTACCGCACTGTGCATGGACACTTCTGAAATCGGGTCAGTTGGAGGTGCGCTATCCCTGTTATCTGTCAATATCTGTCAGTTCATACTTAAAAGGACCAAGGTTCAATCGTCCCTCAGACGAACCTATTTACTCGTGCATATTTTACGTCGTGTAATCAGGATCCGGGATACGATTCTCAATGCCAAATTTGTCTCGTTCTGGGCATCAAAAGTACTTTCGGTACTCTACGTCATCACACAGACCAACTAATTGTTGTGAGACACGTTGTATTTAAATTGTCGCACCCCTATGTCAGACTAGGATTCGAACCAGGAATATCCAAAATTAAGACGGGTGCTCCAACTAAATTAACTTGCTTTTCTCCAGTATAGTCACCCTGCCCACCCCCGCCACACACCTCGTATTCGCCCCCGAAAGAGAAAACTATTTGCAACCAAGGTTGGGGTATCCACTTGCCAAGTGCACACACTAGTTGGAACAAGGGTTAGTCACAAGCAACAAGGAAACAGGACGGAGAGAACGCTACATGACCAAACCTTGATTTGAACCCGAGAGTTCCTATACACTTTCTTCTAACGGACGCTCTAACTTAGCTGCCAGTTGTTCACCGGTGTTCATTCGGTCCAATCTCGCTACACCTGTGCGGTTACCGGAATTGTCGGGTCGTTTATACGTTACAGAGGAAATATAATGATAATTTCATATATCATAGCAACTGTGACTGTCCCGAATCGTTATTTAGGTGTGTATGTAGTACCAATAGACTGACTATACCTTGACCAATGTCCATGCCTCCTCCACCCCCATACCAATTGATAAGCGAAATCAATTTGTCTGCCATTATACTAGTATATCAATATACAATTATGTACTAATGCATATTTGACAGAATGACAGAATAGACTTACTGTAATTTGATGTAGTAGATGCAGACAGAACAGGAGATACAATGACACTTAGAAACACTACTGCAAACGAAAGTCGGTAATCCATTTTCAATTTGTCGTCTTGATGCAAATCCTTACGTTCCCGAAGTTGTATACTTCAGTTCCTCTTTTTAGACAGTTATATATTATTCCAGTGTTAGTAGCTCGGCGTCAGCGTCATGAAACAGTGACAAATTCTAATTCTGTAATCATGTGTTAATCACGCCCCTACACTATCTGGACGTGTAGGTACGTATACACCCGACCCCGACGTACGTATATCTTATCTACAATTAATACATGTACATCGTCACATGTCAGATATCAGCATCCTTGGGTAAAGGAATATATCTCTGACGATCATTTAGTCTAAATAGTGATAATATATACATCTAATAGGTACTCCAATATTTGGCATTCCTCAATCAGATGTTGAGACAGTATTATACTATTTCACGTATCACTTCCTAACACAATATGATATCCTTAACAGATGGGTGAATACATGGTTCCTGACCTGTGCATTTCTCAACCAGATGCTGAAGCAGGCAACAGCATAATTTGAGCTGTAAAAAAGATGACAAACACCTTGCAAATCCCGAAATGAAAAACAAATAATTGTGGAATGAAATAATTTTTCATTCAACTCTATACTGACATATGTTTTTTGTTTTGTTATGTCATAACCCCATGACAGGGGAGGTTTTATTATTGAATTGAAAAATGTCGATACTGTGTAAATACAGATGTGTTATGTTTTCTCTGCCACCGTGTACTGTAGTGTGCTATTATGCATTACTGGTTAGTTGTTCTAGATTATCAATTTCTGGACTATTGAAAATAGTATAGACCATATTTATGAAGAAACGCTATTTTCAAAAAAAAAATCATATCTCTAATATTTCTAATATTAAAGTAAATGACATCATGCGTAACGTTGTTGGTAGATCCTTAAAATTGACATCTAATCCCTGTTACAATTCCGTCTTTGCGTATTGCAGAGTTATCTTCTCTTGGGAGCAGGTATTGATTGTTACGTCACTTGTTTGTGAGAGTAACGTCATCAATATTTGAGAAAACGACGTCATTTTCTCACACAAACCAATGACGTAACAATCAATACCTGCTCCCAAGAGAAGATAACTCTGCAATACGCAAAGACGGAATTACATATGGAGTTACCAAGAGTAACGTCTTGACCAAAACTTTGATATTTTTTTCTCATATTGATGATACTGGTATTGAATTTTCATATGATACATGGATGTATATGGACATTTATAGATCCATGAACAAATCTGTATTTGAAACATCTTTAACTACGTAAACCAATGCTTTAACCTTTGACCCCCAGTACAATAGTTTTCGCTGTCATAACCTGTTTCTTCTTGGGTAACTATACAGACGCTTGCATGTATTATCTACAGCACAGAACAGAAATACGGAAAATAATTGGAAAAAACAAATATCATACATATAGAATATTTCTCAATAAATTCAGTACAGCGCTCAAATAGACAGTTTTACAAATATAACTACCACCTGTCTATAATCACCACATGTGCACACTAAATAACTGTTTCCTGTATATAAATGCGACATGTACTATGAGGCTTTATTTACACTTCAGTACCTTCAAAGTAAATTGAAGGCAATACATATGGATACAAAGCAGCACAAAGCGATAATATTCGGAATATATCTACAATATGAGTGACTATACAGTTTCAATATCTGGTGCATCATTATGAAGCAAGTAAGCCCATCTTCCTCAGCTCAAATGACTGTTTAAAAAGAGCCTATTATCGATCCGTCATAGGACAGAAATTGCAAGAATTTAATACATTGTTTAGGTGTTTTCCTCAGATAACGGAGACGATTTCTATATTGTAAAGCAATTTAATAGTAAATTGTTTCTCATATTTAAATTAGATAAACAATGGAAAAAGAAACATTTATCATCGTCCAGAACATTACAATATATTTGCATATATTTGCTTTTCTGTCGCTAGTGGTCATCTTTTTATTCCTACCGGCTTCAAGCTCCAAGTTGTGATCGTTATTCGAAATATAGATATTATCCTCTTATGGTTCAGACAAAACTAAATGCTAGTAAATAAGATTAAATTACGATGATTTATTAAACTTTCAATATAGGTTAACAAGGAGAAATACTTACATTTTTAACACTTTATTCACTTTGTTTGCTGTGTATTAATGAAGCAGTTTATAGGGTGAAGACCTGGGCCGTTTTTGTTTGTCGCTATCCAAACGGTTGGACCGGTTCGTTTATGAGATATATATAAGGTCGGAACTATAGTTATCTGATGCTGCTTTCAGGCGACCCGTGACAAAACCTTGCAAGGCCTGCATATACTCGAAAATTGTGAAATTTAAAAACAGACAAACCGGTTGCTACGCATAAATGACAGGCCCCAGGTTCGGCTCTTGATAGATATGTTTATTCATAAGGAGTATATACGACTCAGTGACCACATACATTGTATACGCTGACAACCATATGTCTGGTATGTGTGTATACATTTGTAAACATTTGTACGTTAAACACCGGTGTGAGTCATATCCAAAATGGCGGAGGATCTCAACAAGGAAATGGAAATGCTTTGCATTAAATCAGTTGAGATTTTCATGGAAAAAGTAACGAAAATGATCCCTAGAGTGAAACTGAGGGACTATACTATGCAATCTTTTGGATGTGTACCTATGACCTACTTGGGAAGCCAGGCCGAGTGTATTCACGGTCTAAACTCGGACACAGATATAATGTACGAATGTCAGACAGTGAAAGTTGTACACAAACTCGAACAGGGACTAGATGCTTTACCGTATGGCTATGATGCTGTGGTGATACAAGACTCGACTGGGACACATGAAGGGTACACAAAGTTAAAACTATTCGACATCCAACGTGAAAAAGCGTTCGCGGAGATAAATGTATCATCTCTATGTATAGACGGGTTCCTTTCTATTGGTCTGGTGTCAAAATTCTGGAAAGATAGACTCGCAAGACGGGACCTGTTTCCTTCACATGGCATGCAGACAAGCCTTCATCAACACGGCCCTTGTATCACATTCAAGTATAGTGGGATGGAGAATCGGCTAGACACGGATATTGATTCCGTTTTTACTTTACAATGTGATTGGCCTGAACAGGCAAGAGAATGGTTCACAAGACAGAGGAACAGTAACTGGCCAAACCAAGAACTTAAACAAAAGATCAAAACCATAGGATGTCATCTTGTTCCTATAGGACATACTTTATCACTCCAAAGAGACATAGAATGGCGGATTTCATTTAACAAGCCAGAGCGAGAACTTGTGTGGTCTTTCAATGGTACTCAATTTGCATGTGTTGACTTCATGAAGATATTTTTTCACGTGAAGATCAGTCCAAACTTCCCCGATCTGTTCTCTTCATATTTTATCAAAACCGTTATGTTCTGGATGGTAGAGGATTCGGAACCAGATCTTTGGAAACCAGAAAACCTCTGCAGATGTTTAGAGGAATTACTTGGCCGCATCATCATTTGTGTTGGAAGAAAAGAAATCAGACATTTTTTCATTCCGTCAAACAACATTATTGACACAAAATCATCCGATGGACTTGATGCATTGCTGACAGAGTTGATTCAATTTCAAAAGTTGGGGCATGGAAAATGGAAACCCATCATGAAAGCAAGAATAGATGAAAGGGATGAAAATGATATATACTTTTATCACGTGAAAATCAACGCCTTGTCCACCGTTCGACATTACATAATTAACCTGCTTTCAACGTCAAACAACGAGAAATTTGGCATGTATCTTGCCCATATCAACCACAGCATCAAACAAGCTATTGGACAGAAGCTGTCAAATGATATATGGGAAATTTTTCAAGTGGAAATTGAAACCATTCAAAGATTGCATGAATACCTTCAGACTGACAAATCATTTGATGATACCGATATGGAACAAACTGACAAACAACCTCCATATAACAAATCGGGAACCTATGCCCAACTCACCAATTGGTTAGAGGGAGAGAAGAAGTGTTGTTTCAGATCTGGGCGATTAGAATTGGCAACATGGTATTTATATCAGGGAAGATATGTTGAGGCAAGGCAGGTAGTGGATGAGCTTTTGTCGAATTACAACAATACAATTGTTCACTATACATTCCACAACCGTGACAAAAAACCGAAGGATGAAGATTATGATATCAAATTTCCAAGACCAAGTTTCGAAGAAACTCTTCAAAAGTACATAATGTTCGACGTAGTTTTCTTGCCTGTGTTAAAGGCGGTATATCCAAAAACAATCCAAACGGTTATAGAGAACACTAGATCTGTTTTGTTTATCAGTCCAATGTTTTATAGTAATTTAGTAAAATTTCATAGTTTCAAGGATGAAGGGTCAACAGAAGCTGCCGCTGAGATCGCAAGTCAACTCATGGCGTCTGCCAAAGATGACCAAAATGAAACTATCCTAAAACTGGCTCTCGCGTGTAATGCAATGGTATAAAAGAGAGTAGTGAAATAGGTTTACTTGGGAGAGCATTGTAACAGCATAATAGTGGGCTACTTGAATAAAGTTTGCAATGAAAATGTCAACAGAGTCGAGACACTGACATATGCATTTTTAGTTTGTAAATCGCCGTGGTTTCAATGCTGTAAACACCTACTAAGTAGGTTATGCTAACGTGTACGTCTTTGATATGTGTATAAATGATATTTGCTTATGATGCTCAACGTTGTTTCTAAGCAATGTATAAATTGAAAAAAAAAGGTTTTCCCGAATTACAATGAATTAAAATAAAACAAGTCGTTATTTAACGACATCCCTTTGTGATATCCCTGAAGAAAGGGATTCGTATGACGATGTTTAATAATATCTGCAATTAATGTATCTGGTCGATAGCAGCTTGTCATGGCAAACCAACTTGCATTTTTTTTAGCTTTTAATACCCAAAGAGGGGTCGCTTAAGTATTGGAACTCAGTTAGAGATATCTTAAAGAATTAAAGATGTCTTTAATCTGAATAATGACGTGTACGTAAAACCAAAACCTCTAAAATACATAAATTCGTGACTAATACACGTTTTTGAGAACTGTACAGTAAGGTACATAATTTCATTTCAATTTCTTTCCAATTCTTATAATTTTCGGGTCTTAATGTCACCAGAAACCGGAGTACCCGGAGAAAACCTACGTGGTCTGGCAGGTGAGCCAATACCTTTTCATGTTCGATCGGGGACAAAAACACCGACCGTATTTGTGAAAGGCGAGTGCGCTATCTACTACGCCACCCAACCACCCACTTGCTATCGGCCATCGCTTTAACATGTATGTCTCAGCAGTTGGTGCAACACAATTGCTACGAACCTAGTAAATAACACCTACTAATACATAAATTGGTCCTTATTGTTCTGCAAGGAACTGACACCTCAAATATATCAAAAATAAGCAATAATGCACCGAAAAACATGTTTCGACTAATTAAATATCATAAAACTTTGAGGTGACGTTACGTTTTATTTTCTGCATTGCATGTAAGCCAAGTATCCTTTAGAGGTGTTTCGGTAGTGCACGATTATCCTAACGTCCACATCAATCTCTCTAACTTACTATTCCGTCTTTTCGTATTGCAGAGTTATCTGCTCTTGTGAGCAGGTATTGATTGTTACGTCATTTGTTTGTGAGAGTATCGTCATAGATTTTTGAGAAAACGACGTATTTTGTTTCACACAAACTAATAGCGTAACAATCAATACCTGCTCACAAGAGCAGATAACTCTGCAATACGAAAAGACGGAATAGAAAGGGGGGATATCCCGTTTTCATTAAATAAACTTTGGCGTAGAATACTTTTTTCTGTGTCCTTCATTCTTTAGAGTTTGACAAATTAATTTTTATTTGAAAGAAATATACCCAACTAGGTTCCCTTAAAAAATGGTAGTTACTCTTTTGTTTTTAATACATAAAATAGATCAAGACAAACAGATTGAAAACATGTAGTATGTCCAAATTATATCAATCGATTGTTGCTTATAATTGGTTGAATTTTCACAAAATACAAAAAGTGAAGTAACAAAGGATATGAATTTTCAACAAATTAAGTTGATTGAGCAAGAACCTTGCAAAATAAAATCCTGGTGTTGAAATGACGGTATTTAGATATTGGCCACACCAGAGTAAGAATTTCGATTCAAACAACTGAAAATTCTTTAATAATAAAATTATCATAATTTCTCTTATGGTAGCAGTGTACAGTAGCGTACGGTGGTCATGGTGATATTTTTGTACAATGAAAAACTCCTGTAATATTACATGTATCGAAATGAAATAAAAAATCAGCACTAAATTGGCATATATAGGATGAAGTGGACTATGTGGGCTTCATATTTAGATTTTTTTTATTCTAATCTGGTTTGAGACTACATTTTTGGCCAGCTGTTCATGTAGTCTATTTTTGTACTCAGCACATGTGTAAATATTGTGAAAAATCCAGTTGAACGAATTATGCGAAAACGTGCGTATTTTTGTTACCGAGTGGATGATATTTAATTCAAGACAGGTTTTAAGAAACAAATTACTACTTGCGTGGGTCAAATTTTGGGTTAAATTTGAGTTGTTTTGCATTTTGTGGTGTTTTTTGATGTGGTAACCATGGTTTTCACAAGTCCCAAATCTAGGGTAACACTTTTTGAAAAAAAATCATTCTTCTAAAACAAATGTATTCAAAATGTAGTGTATGAATATATATATATATATGTATGTGTGTTGTGCAGGATGAATCCACTATCCATGTTTATCAGAGACATGCCCTTTATTTTAAGGATCAGGCCATTTCTACTGTACTCTGCTACCTATGACTAACTTGGCCCTGTGTGCCAGTTTGGTGGACTTGTGTATCTATTCGTATGACAAGTAGCATTTTGGTCCTTTTATTTAAGTACTGTCAGTTTTACTGCTTATAATCAAGAAATATACATACTATCATTCTTTCTATGCAAACACGTGCATGCTATTATTTGTTGTCCAGAACATGATTCGATTTAATAATAGCATACATGTACGTGCAATGCGGGGTAACATAAGAATACGTTGATAATGATATTAAATACACGAATACTATGTTGATTACCAAGCCTGATAGTCTGGTGCACTTTACATAGCACGTACATTCTAACGATAGGTAGACTGCTGCCTATTGCGAAATCAGTTGATATATTTGGGCTTAGACGTAGTCCAACAATCTGTGAACAAAACGTTATCGTTTGCGTGGATAAACACTCCTTTATTGATAATTAAAGCTGTAGTTTTAGCAAAACGGTTCTTTGCATTTGAGGATAACCCGTTTGATTTTTTTTTATTTCAAAGAATAGGTCACTGCGCACATGATATAAATCGCTCTGTTGTGTACTCCGTTTAACAAACGTTTCGTCAGACTATTAGATAAAGGAAAATATATTTTTACATTACACTTCAATGGGAAACCACTTATCATTTCGTAGTTCTTGAGAGATAACAGTATTCACTGTTAAAATCAATATTCCAATCGCATTCTCGGACCGTTATTTCTTACGATTATGTGCAGAAATGAAAGATCTATGCTCAAAAGCTGTGAAAATATTTATGGAAAAAGTGACAAAAATGATCTTACGCCAGAAATTGGTAAATTATGTGATGAAAAACATAGCAAAAATACCTATGTTCATATCCGGCAGTAGAGTCGAGTGCATTCAAGGTCTAAATTCTGATACCGATATCATATATGAATCGACAACTATCGTGGCAACAGCTAACACTGAACAAGCCAGGAGTCTACTACCTGACGGTGAACATCAGGAAATTCCACTATGCAAAAACTGCACCAAACGTGACTACGACGCTATTGTTGTAATGGATACATTACATTTAAGTATGACGCTTATATATAATTTTAGCAAATACAACTGAATTAGAATAAAACTAGTCGTTATTTCGTGTGAGCCCTGTCTGGTATCTCTGTAGGTAGGGATTCGTGCGACGGTGTTTAACTATCTGCAATGTTCCCGGCGGATAGCAGCTTGTCATGGTAACTTACACCTACACGTTTACACAAAGAGGGGTCCCAAACATATTAGGGCTCAAATAGAGATATCTAAACGAGTTAAAGATGTCTTGTATAATTTAGTTATAGAGCTATCTTTGAAAGAATAATAAATATGTCCTTAAACAGAATTATGATATACGTAAAACCAAAACTACTGAAATACAAAAGTTCGCGACTAATACACGTTTTTGAGAACTGTACAGTAAGGTACATAACTTCATTTCGATTTCTTTCCAAATCTTATAATTCTCGGTCTTAATGTGACCAGAAACAGGAGTACCCGGGGAAAACCTACGTAGTCTGGCAGATGAGCCCATACCTGCTCACGTTCAATCGGGGAGACGAACACCGGCCGTATTCGTGTAAGGCGAGTGCGCTATCTACTGCGCCACCCAACCACGCACTTGCTATCGGCCATCGCTTTAACATGTATTCTCTGCACAATTGGTACGAACCTAGTAAATAACACCGAATAATACATAAATTGGCACTGATACTGACACCTCAAATATATTAAAAATAAGCAATAATTCACCGAAAAACATGTTTCGACTAATTAAATATCATTAGATAAAACTAAGAGGTGACGTTACGTTTTATTTTCTGAATTTTATGTAAGCCAAGTGTCCTTTAGAGGTGTTTCGGTAGTGCACGATTATCCTAGCGTCCACATCGATCTCTCTAACTTACTATAGAAAGAAAGGGGATATATCACATTTTCATTAAATAAACACAAGTCCCAAATCTGGGGAAACGCTTTTTGAAAAAATGTCATTCTTCTAAAACAAATGTATTCAAAATGTAGTTTATATACATATATATATATATGTAGTTGTGTTGTGCAGGATGAATCCACTATCCATGTTTATCTGAGACATGCCCTTTATTTTAAGGATCAGGCCATTTCTACTGTACTCTGCTACCTATGACTAACTTGGCCCTGTGTGCCAGTTTGGTGGACTTGTGTATCTATTCGTATGACAAGTAGAATTTTGTTCCTTTTATTTAAGTACCGTCAGTTTTACTGCTTATAAACAAGAAATATACATATTATCATTATCTGTATGCAAACACGTGCATGTTGTTATTTGTTGTCCCGATCATGATTCGATTTAATAATAACATGCATATACATGCAATGCGAGGTAACATAAGAATACGTTGATAATGATATTAAATACACATACATTATGTTGATTACTAAGCCTGCTAGTCTGGTGCACCACTAAAAAGCGCATAAATTCTAACGGTAGACTGTCTGTTGACATACTTGAGCTTAGACGTAGTCAAAAAATCGATACATCGTAACAAGCATTTTTTTCTGTGAACAAAACGTTATTGTATGCGTGGATAACACTCATAAATTCGTAGTTGTTGAGAGATAACAGTATTCACTGTTAAAATCAATATTCCAATCGAACTTTCGGACTGTTATTTCTTATGATTATGTGCAGAAATGGAAGATCTATGCACAAAAGCTGTGAAAATATTTATGGAAAAAGTGACAAAAATGATCTTACGCCAAAAATTGGTAAATTATGTGATAAAAAATATAGGCCAAATACCAATGTTTATATCCGGCAGCAGAGTTGAGTGCATTCAAGGACTAGATTCTGATACCGATATCATATACGAATCGAAAACTATCGTGGCAACAGCTAACACTGAACAAGCCGGGAGTCTACTACCTAGCACCAAACGTGACTACGACGCTATTGTTGTTATGGAAACATCAAATACACACGCTGGCTATACAAAAGTGAAGGTGTTTGATATCAATCAAAACCTGTCTCAACCCCAGATAGATGTTATGTCCCTTTGTCCCGATGATGCAAAATTCGTCTCCAGTGAACAGGTATCACAATATTGGAAGAAGGAAATAGCAAAAGGTGTCATATTCCCATCTCATGGTATGTATAAAGAATATCAACCTCATGGACCGTGTACAACATTCAAGTACGGTGGAATAATGCAGATCTACGATATAGACACACTCTTTTCCTTGAAATGCAAATGGCCGGAAACAGCCACAAAATGGTTAACAGAACACCGCAAGTGTAAATGGCCTGATCAGAACACTTTAGCGACGATTGAGTCAATGGGCTGTAGTTTGGTTCCCATAGGACACGCCTCCTCCTCCGAAAAGGGCTTAGAATGGAGAATATCCTTTAACAAGGCTGAGCGAGAGCTTGTGTGGTCTTTCAATGGTACTCAATACGCGTGTATTGACTTTATGAAGATTTTTTTTCACGCAAAAATCAGCCCAAAGTTTCCAGATGTTTTTCCATCATACTTCATCAAAACAACTATGTTTTGGATGATAGAGGAAACAGCATCTGAAATGTGGAGACCGGAAAATCTATCGGAGTGTCTGGAAGAGTTGTTGAACAGACTAATTACTTGTATTGAGGAAAAGAAAGTAAGAAATTATTTCATTCCGTTGAATAACATGATGGACACAAGATCCACATTGGATTTGGAAAATCTTCTTTCAGAATTGAGGATGTACAAACAACTCGGACCCGACAAATGGACAGAAATTATCAAGTTAAGAGTAGATGAAGTGGATGAAAATGACATATATTTGCACCACGTAGAAATCAATTCCCTGTGTGTTGTTCGCCATATCACTATGACCACCCTTGATACTATGGAACCAGACACATTTTGTTCAAAATTAAAAAACATAAATGACCATTTGGAACGAGCTATAGGCCTACGTTTTTCACAGAATACTTGTTTGAACTTACAAAGTGAAATAGGAACAATTCATGAGCTTCAAAGCTTCTTCTTGTCAGGAGAAGACACGGATAAGGCGAGAGATAATCTTCAACCTTTACTTCAAAAGCAAGCCGATACGACCTTCTGTTGTGGTCGAATGATGCTAGCTACGCTTCATTTATATCAAAAATCATATAGCGAAGCACAAGCTATTGTTGAAGATGTCATCAGAGGCTACACCAACAAAGTGGTTCATTACACGTTCCATAACAGAGACAAGACTCCGAAAGACGAAGACTATGCCGACATGTATCGCACAAAATCAAGTACTTTTCATGAAACGTTAAAGCGTTTCATAGCGTTTGATATAGCATGTCTTCCCATTTTGAAAAAGTTTTACCCAAAAGCTGTTGGGAGCGTGATGCAGAATACTGATTCGGTTTTGTTCATCAATCCTTTGTTCTATGCTCATGTCATACATTTGCATTGCTGTGTTGCATCTGGGAATCTCACTAGGGCATCTCAGGTAGCTGATGATTTGGTCTCATTCATGACAAAAAAATCCAAAATCATCCGACAGACATCGGACACTTCTTTATATCATATAGCAAGGGAGTGTCTAAAGATGGTTGGCAGGTCTGAAGAAGACATTGCATCTATTATCAACCCATTTGAAGGTACGGTGATATTATTTTATTAAACTTGTAGTTCACATAAAATTATTAGGCTTGCCTAAGTCTGCTTTGAAATTATATATTATTAGACTTTACATGTAAACATTTTGTACATGGGAAAAACCAGAGTTTGTAGCTATTTTAATACACTGTTGCTAGGTACAAATTATACGAAATATCATAATCAAGCTATAACGCACATGCACTTTCAGATCACCAATTTTTATACCCAGTAGTGTCAAGCGCAGTATAAGACTGCCTTCTGATACTGATAGCAAACATCGGTATGCAACGGTATATGAATCGACAACAGACGTGACAGCAGTTAGTTAATACTCGACAAGCTAGAAATTTACTTCTGTAACCTGGCTGTGTTAATAACATAAATGAATTTTCAACGAAAACAAACACATTCTGACTAGGTGCATACATCTAGTACACACCTCGCAAATATTTATGATATCAGTATTCTTGTGTGATCAGTAGCCCACAAACTTCCTCTTTTTACGGACGGGTCGATATTCAATTGTCATTTAGATTAATAGATACATGTGTGGTTTAGTACATATACCAGTAACGTTATTTTCGTTAATATTCGTCATTTTCTTTCCCTAATTAAAACATGTTTTTGCTGTTTTTATCGGTAAAATGTACTAACATAACTAATTGATAGTGCAAACCTAAGTAAGTTATTCTTTTAGTTACCGAGAAATACATACGCGCTGTTTAACACATGTAGCAGGTATCACGGCGGTATTATCATTCAATGTAATATAAAAGCTATTACGATATTTTATTGATAGTATAGTATCAAAAAACCGATGTCCTAGTATTTGGTAAATGATGGTTGATGATAATGAGATTGCATATCGTCAATCGCGTTTTCCCCCCAATAACCCTATTCCTGTACTATAAAAATGTATGTGCATAGAAGGTGGAATTCAAAGAAATTATGAATACACGATGCAATAATGTTGTCATGATTAATACATACTTTAACAGATAAAGGGAGATTACTGTTACAGAAGAAATACTATTGTACATTTCTCGGGACCCTATATACTTATTTGAAACTATACAGAATTTTTTGTAGCTATTCATGACTGCATATCGAAAAATGAAGTTTTATTTCAATGATAACATTTTCGAATTATCATACGAATATTTTCATTTTACAGTGATACTGGATTAATTTGCCTCCTGGATGCACTGGCTGGATACGGCACTAGCTGATGATAGATATCATGTCGTTTACCGTGAAAAGGATCTGGTTGTACCACAGACTACAACCTTCTGTATCACAAAAACAATATCGACCACAAGTACTATCTTGGAACATACTGATGACAACGACTTCTGTATATTTTGGATAATACAATACATGCGTGTTTACATGTAAAACATACTGTTAGTCAAACAGTTACAAAAAACTCTAATGGTGGATTCGAAAATTGAGAGTAAAAAAGTAATATATATTGCGATACAAATATAATAGAAATACAAATTAAACCTCGTTATTTAAAACCATTTGCAATGCTATAGTTTGGAGATATAAATGGCATTGGCAATACAGTATATAGAGAAAACATTTAAAAGGATTGTTTAAAAAGAAACAAAAAGGGCATATCTATGTTGAGGGTATTTGAGATGAAGTAAAACAAGGGAAATGTAGATAAACCAAAATATATTACTATCACAGTGTTATAAGCAAACTTATACCAATGCCATCAGTGTTTCTCCTTTAGCATCTGAAATCGTGAGGCCATTGTATACAGGGCCAATCAATAAGGTAACGTTAGGAAGCTTCGGAAATATCCATTTTACTGGCGATACAAACACTTCCAAATCTTAAATATCATAGATCACCAATTCCCATAACTTTGTTATGCTAACATAAACGAAATAGACGGATTCTTTTTCATGCTGATATGCAGCCACCACGAACACATTCATAATGTTAAACTTACCTAAGCTGGCTTCATTAAAGATATAACCGATTTTCATTTATTCCGGAAACAAACAAACGTTCAATACCTATTTTACAAATGACTGAAATTTGAAAAAAAAACAATTGTCCGCTTATTATACGACATAAAAAAGATATTTCCTTTTGCGATTGCAAAATATATCATACTTCATGAGATATTTTAATCGAATGTTATAACATGGTGCATATTTGTGTAAGCATGACACTGCCACCAATATACAAATGAACTATGTAACAATGACAGACACACATTGGTAGGGACCTATATTGGTGATTTCAGTTTCATTCTGACGTCACAATGGTACGTTAGCTACATGAATCACATAGAAATGAAAATAGATTTTAATTTTGCTGTCAATATGAAATGAACTACATCTAATTAAAAAAAAACATTATTTTGCGTCACAACAGTGAACCACGATGACAAAGGCAATATGAATGCTTACTCATTAAATAAAGGTCAGTGACTATTACCTGAAAGAAGTTCGCTGCTTCATTGTTTTGTATTACAGTAATCACGCGGAAGTTGTAAAGCCTTTATTTCGATAAACATTCCAACTCAAAATGTTTTGAAAGCATATCAAAAAGAGGTTTTACATTTTAAAATCCTCCAATCGAACTGTCCTGGTATTTCATATGAACTGTTAGATTAATCGGGAACCAGTCATCGTTAAATTTGAACAATGATGACTAATTTGCCTTTGTCGACTTCCGGGAAAGGTATGAATTACAAAAAAAATCCTTTTCATAGTTCCATCTAAATGTTTCAAAAATAAAAATAAACTACGCCTAATGATAAGCTGTTTTGAAAGTAAACATAAGGGTTGAAATGTATTTTAAAACATTTCTTTTTTTCCTCTTCTTGATAATGGCAAATCTTCATAATCACTGAAGTTTTATTTCAATGCCATAAGCTGGTTAAAAAGTGAAACAGAAGGTGTTTTTGTTTCTGTATTTTTGTTGATTTTTTTTGTTTGTTTGTGTAACTATGAGTCCAATACACGGTTTTGTGCACACTTCTGAAGTATCTTTTTTAATGCAACTGCTGCAAGCCATAATAAGATGTTTGAATTGTAATCCATATTTAAATCTTCACATATAATTTAAGTGTTGTATACATGTGTTATAATGAAGTTTCTATATTGCAGTATAGTAAAGTACATATAAAATGTGCTGAAAAGACTGACACGTTTAAACGTTATTAATTAACTTTTATTGTTATTTTAGTGTGAATAATAAAACAATAAAATTATACTTATTTCTGTTCTTACGTCATTGCTACATGACCAAGGCCATTATCTAAGATAGATGAAATGATGAAACCCAACGTCATTGAAACCGATTTTTTTATACACCGGCCAACATAATCGTTTCTGCCATATTCGGTTCAGATAAGATACAATTTAGTACAAAATTACATTTTTCGCCAGCCACATACTTTACTTAAATTAAGTCAGAATATTCAACGCAATGAATTGTAGCATAAATATAAACGACGCAGTAAAGGTAGGGTTCAGCTTAGATAAAGATTTTATCGTGTCAAATATCTGTACCAAGCTATGACCAAATATCTCGCTTGACAATCCCTCTTTATCGTTTATCAGTAGTTACGAGTAGTATGCGATACATTAAGATAACTGAACCCCGATCATGTATGACTGTAGATTAGTTTATATACCTCATTGTTTACCTTTTAATTGTTTAAAATTTTTAAGGGATCGTATTGATTTTGTGAATATGTAAAAACCAGAAAATAGCACACAAGTCTGGGATCTGTCTGTTACAATAATTTTAAATATGAGGAAATCCTGAAGTGTGATTTTTAAATAAACATAATGATGACAATTTGTTCTAAGGTAATGATGATGACGTCAGTGTTCATTGGTAATCAGAACCGATATAACCATAATATTCAGGTAATAAGAATATGCCGAGGAGTGGCTGTAATATCACGACTGAGGAAAGGATAGTTAACAGTTTTGATATGAAAGTCATCATGTATGTAAGAGAATCTGGAAATGAGATGACTATTATTTCTATCCTATAGAGAAATGTCAGAATATGAGGCTGAAGAATAGAAGCTTGTGGTATGTATCTTTCATTGCAAGTACTAAGATACCATTGGAGAAAGTGTATAGGGTTATTTTATTTACTGGGACAATGTTGCGATACTTGGACTGATAAAATGTTATATTTCTGTCTTGAGACCGATACATATGGCTACTTTTTTCTTCCTTTTACCTCGTAAATATCGACGTATTAAGAAACTCTTTAAACATTATAGAGAACTTACACACATTAAGAGCTGTCTGAGTATATAATGAATCAGTTACAATTGCATAACATCAATCGTATTAATTTTAGCACCTGGAATGTTATTCGTGATACAGTCGATAGATTACCTTTGCACTTCATCGGCCAAAGAAGTGTGTATATTATCAAATTGTGGAACGAATGGGGGGATTAACATTGTTTGGATTTTCTACAATTTGCATCCTGTTTAAATAGTATGGGTAACAATCTACGACGTTATAGCAAGCTGAAACATTCCCATAAATCGTTATTTAAGCAGAGAAATATTATGTGTCAAAAGTATACTTTTGTAATGTTTAACATTATCAGAACGATCGAACCTCATTCATGTAAAATCTGGAAATTCATCCACAAATAGTTGTCCTTGGGAAATTACCTACATAGTCGCACAACATAAACAATCTATGAAGAAACAATGAAAGACCTGTCAATTAAAGATAATGAACAATGGAGCTTGTTACCCTGTATCAGCCGTCACCATCACTGCGGTCGGAGTCAGAATCTTTGTTGTGTGTCCCAAAATCTCGTACTGTGACCTACGGAAACATTTGCTTTGGGAGGGTTTCGGCTACGTTGTGCAATAGCTTAACTTGCTATTAGAAAGTCAAATACCCTGGCCAAGTTCAAGAGGGACATCAAAACTCACCTCTTCACGTCTGCATTTTAGAATCTTTGCAAAGACGTCATGTAAATACCACCCTTTTATTTGTTCAATTATGTGCACATTGCTTGCTTAAATGTATAAAAGTGATTGTAAGCCTTTGTTTTTTGTTTTCACAATTATAACCATTATTATTATCCATATGTTGTAAAGCGCTTTAGAGTAATTTTACAAATTATATAGGGCGCTATATAAATGTTGTATATTATTATTATTAATAACAACATAGATTGTATACATAAGCTTTGTAGATAGGATTTTGGTTACTTATTGGATGTGGACGAGTATCTGGAGATACATTCAAAAATATCTCTTAATGCTCTCCTTTCTTCCTGGTCATACAGTAATATGTTATTATTCGTAATTCTTCACGTATTGATTGATGCACATGCAGGTCTATTAAATAGTGATAACAGCGTCCAACATGTGATATTAGACCCTGGTAGTGTCAGTGGATCCTAGATAGAGTTACGTTTATGTCAAGGTGTTTAGATTCTATATCGGGTAGTATAAAAATATAATGTTAACATAATTGAAATACAAAGTCTTTAATTATCACGAATCAGGCATATGAAAATATTGTTTTATATGGCATTGCCTGTTATTTTCTAAACTATCAATTGCAATCTGTCGACTCACAGTTGAATATATTGACACCATGTACAATTATAGCAAGTACCTTAAATACTTGCATGTTTGGATTTTACTCACGGATATATGTCGGCATACTTATTCGTTTTTGAGGAATACGAAGTGAACACAACGAAACCTAGCTTCGATATCCAAAAATAGGGTACCGATACGAATTTGTCACTGTAATGAAAACAAATCACAGCGAGGATACAGGCAGTTGTCTCAGGGATTTGGAAGAAACCTCCTTGATGACTCTTATCTTTACCATTAGAATGTAAAGTGTATCAAACAGATGGTTAATAAATATCATCCGATTTTATCCTCTGCTTAATATGTTGTGTACAGGCTACTAATGATTAGATTAACTGACAATGCAATTTATTGGTCATCTATTGTTTCTGTTAGCAGGAAAATATTTTAACAACAACAACATGAAATATAATGTAATAAAATGTACATTTATTCATTTAAGAAAATTGTCTTTGTTGCAACGACTCGCTTTGAAATATTCTTTTTGACAACTTACTTACATCACACTCGCTTACTCTCTGTATCTTTCTCTCTGTCTCTCTCTGTCTCTGTCTCTCTCAATATGTGATTTTGCTTTCCCTCAACTTTTTCTGCTTCCTTCTTCTCTATCAAAACATGAGTAATATTGACCTATTCGACGACAAGTAATAAATAACCAGGAAAAGTATGTATGATGCATTATGAGTATGTCAAAATAAATAAAATAAAATATAGATGTAAATAATTGTGTACAAAAGAAATCCGAGCATTGTTCAAACACGATTTGAGTAAATGTGTGTGTTTTACATATGTATACCCTAACATTACTAAATTTATCCCACAGCTAAAGCCGTTCTACGCTTCTGATCTATAACACTCGACAGGATTATTAAGAAAGTAAAGTCTTTGTGGATCGATGATAAATTCTCCAGTGTGAGTACTGCTAGTCCTTGAGCTGAATAAGGTCACCACATACACCTATGATATAAAACACCCGAATGATTTGGAAAATCTATCATATTCTGAGGGAAAATTTTCTTGTGGGAAATGTGATGGCTGAAGACTACGTTATGTTCACTGATTATGTTTTTTGTTTTAGCACTGTTCCTATGATTGTCATTGTACTGCGGAGTACGGTCTTCTCCCATCTGCTCTTTTCTTTATGCAACAATATGCAAGGCCAGACAGAAGAAATAAGCCGGCTCCGAGTGCGATTCCACCACCAAAAGACGCGCCGCTAAAGCCACCCTTCGAAGCAGCCGGTGTTGGTGCCGGTGTTGGTGCCTTTGAGGTATGATGGGCTGGGGACGTCATATGGCTTGGCATCGTAGTCCCGTTAATGTCGCTGGGGGTGATAGTGACTGTTGTTCCATTGAAGTCTGGTATCATTGTTACTGGGGTCATTTCAGATGTACCATTGTGACTTGATGTGGTGTCATTGGCCATTGATGTTGTCATGCTTCCGTTTGCTGTCGTCATACTTTCGGTTGCGGTCGTCATATCTTTCGTTGCTGTCGTCATATCTCTTGTTGCTGTCGTCATATCTTTCGTTGCTGTCGTCATATCTCTTGTTGCTGTCGTCATATCTTTTGTTGCTGTCGTCATATCTTTTGTTGCCGTTGTCATACCTGCTGTTGCTGTAGTGGGCATTACAGTCGCTGTTGTTCCTAAATGTGAAGAACAAATACAATATGCTTTTTGGATTCTATTTTGATTGACAGACTAATGCGAGAGAAGTGTTGCATCGGTGGACCTCTTGAAAGGACTAATGTACTACTACAATACGTTGATATTTTTCCATAATGAACACGATATTTTGGTTATCGCTGTATTTCACGTTTTCCACTTATTTTAACACGGACCAATCATTGGTACAATTCAGCTATATAGCTTTAAAACAAGCAGAGGTTAACTTCATTTTAAAGGGTCAGAGGATAAAAGTTTGCCGGTCAAAAATATCACAGGTTACAATATTATACATAAGCCTTTTTGTCGATCTGAATAAGTACCAAGTAAGTTGGTGCAGTTGTTTTCTTTTCTATCTTACATAGGCACATCTAATACAGAGTAACGTAAACCGCCTTACACTGAATATATAAAGCTCATCAAAGCAAAACAAAAACTCGAGGATATGCTGTTAGATGAGGATATTTTGAAGACTAAGAGGCATCTGAATTACACTCACACGGCTTCTCATATCTATAAAATAGTTTCAATGAGAAGTAATCTAATGTTCAGAAGTGCTTTAAGTATTACATATATAAATAAATTATATGTCTACACCAAATTGTCAGGAAGGTGGCTGGCATGATTGGTATATGTAATATTATTATACGTGTAATTATGTTAGTATAATTTTTCATAACATTAACTATCAAATAAAACTTAAAAGCAGTAATGTGTGGTAGCATACCCAAATATGGAAGTGTTAAACGAATAATGGTAGTAAAATAAAACACTATAGCATTATATTTTAAGCACGGAATTATATAAAACTGTTGATGTTATGGAAGTAGTATTTGAATCAAAGTGACATTTTCTACACTTTTTACGTCCTTCAAATCGAAAAAAGTATTAGGCAAACAATTATCTAAGTTACGGTGAAGTATTCTTTAATCTTTGTAAACAATGAAATATTATAGCTGGAAATCAGCCCATGATTACCATCGTATCGTAAAATGTTTTAACGTAGAATGAATATCTTTTCATTACTCTATTGGTCAAAGATCACCGCATCTGTGCAGAAAAACATGATACTTCAAATAGGTCCTTGGATAGTACATCAACTTTGTAAGGCGTTAAAGCAGCATATAATCCATTTGTTTTCTCGTTTGCAATGTCATACGTAAAACTAAGCACCGGGCAAATTAGATTAACATAGTATCATTAACTTATTGGACGTGTATTTTGTTTATTATATACATTTTTTAAAATAGAAACACATGCTTCCGAGATATTAATTTCAATTTCAACCAATTTGATTGACAAAGAAGAATGGTACACTATCAAAAGGATTGTACAACAGACTTATAGCCTATATAAATCCGATCCATTGGTGGAATACATATGGACATATTTGTTTGATATTGCAATTTATTATAAATTATAAAGATTTTGCTTACTGTCAATTATTGATAATCAGAAAAGGGTATCATATTTGGCGTTAGAACCTTATAGACAATTTGACCATAAAAAATAGATGTACAGTACTGTATATTTCTAGACCTTATGCATCTGGTGTAAAATAATATTTCATATATACATATATATACATTACTCCGAGACATTAATCTTTGTAGTAACATATTTAGCAGATAACATGCAGTATATCAAGCACCATACATACCAGCTGTGGACATTACAGTTGAGCTCGCGGTTGTTGCATCAGCGGCATATTCTTCTACACCAACTGCCAAAAGGAAAGACAAATTATACGCACCTGCATGATTGATTTACCTGTTTTATTAGAGATAGCACAACATTTTCACAGTTATATATTAACGTATATCACGCTATACCTAATAAAGATACACACATTTCATGTTTAACAAAAAGCTTTAGATTAATATGTTCTTACTCCGGTAGGAAAATCGTAACGTTATATAATAATAATATCAAAAGATATTTATTGAACTTTGCTAAATAGTGGGAACATTTATGTATCAGTTATTTTCAAATTTACTAACATGTAATACTTCATCATTAACTGCTAATTGGAAGAATTAATAGTAAAATATATCAACTTACCACTTGAAGTAATAACCGCCCCCAGGGCATGTCCTGACAGGACGGCTACTAATAGAAATACTCCGAGAGACTTGTAACTATTCATGTTGCCTTGTACTTTAGTAAAGAAGTCGACTTAACTAAGCTCTTAATACTTTTGCTCACAAGAGATTGACCCTCACTGCGCAATCCGTCTGTTCAGCGGAGTTTAAATAGACGACGTCGACAAAGACAAAATGAGGTTGTGAAATGTACCCGCGGTCATCGAGCAGTCATAGTCACGCGGCGGGTACACTGGTCATCACCTAGTCGGTCAAAATTACGATTACACTGCTCCAGATAACTGTCAGCGCAATTTGCTGCAAATACTGACTGATAACGATTCATCTATCTGCATCTGTGAGGGGCTAGCGTCGGGAGAGCTCCCATTGTGTTATCATCGCTACACACATACGTTCAATATTTGCTATCTAGATATAGGTTGACCTGTTATATCGCGTCTGGTGTGTAATTGTATGGTACAGATTTTATTGCACTCATAATCAGTATACGATATGATAGGACCTTATGGTATCGGGATTGGCATAATTGAATGTTCGAGCGATCGGTGCCATGACTAGTTGTAACCGGTCGCATACCACGCCTACTATTTTCGGTTTTCCATAGCTAAGTATAGTAACTTACGATTAAGCATGACCATATGAAATGAATATAAGTTGTGAATAGTAATGTGAATAGTATATGCAACCTTTATTACAGTTTTATATCCGTATCCACATGAAACATAGAAATCCCTGCTATCTTGAATTATAATTTAAAGAAAATTACTATAATGTTGGTTTTTAAGATTCGTTTTTCCATGGAAAAATAATAGAAATATGTTACCCTGAAAAAATGTAAAAAGCATTGTTACAAAACGTCAGAGTTTAATAGCTTCATAACTATGATTTAAGATAATCAAATCCATATTAATTAGTCGTAAGAGTTACGTTTGATTAAAGGATTTTGAAAGGAACGACCAGAATCAATGATTTATGAATAATGTTTAAGGAATTAAAATGTGAATAATGAAATTTGTAGGTAGTTTTTTTAACAACTTACCTTTTTTCATAGGAAATAAAACAGGAATGACAGTAACAATGCTAATAAGAAAACAAAATACTCACCAACAGGTTATTGAGCAGTTGCCAGGAAAACTGTTTGATTATCAAGTTGTTTAATAATAACACTGATACATTTTGGAAAATATGATGTAATTTCAAAATAGTAATCAAATCTTTCGAAGGTCAGTACTTTTGGATACCATCAAAATATTATTTTATGACATTTTGTATACGGAATTTTCGCTCACTCTTCGCCTGTGACATATAAGTTCGCCTATGTTATTTTCGCCTTTCATATTTAAATACTATATAAATTATATTGTTGACAAAGGTTGGCTATAATGATAATTTCAACCCCATTCAGAGGGCGAAAAAGGCGAAAATTAAGCTGCAGTAAAAAAATCCCGGTGTACACTATCATATCTATAACAAAGACAATGCATCATATATCATAGAACAAACGTTCTTTTTGAAACAGATTTGTATTTGGATTTCAGCGCAAAATAAAAAAACAATTTGTGGAGGCGACATAGAGACAACAGAGATAGTGGTGGATATAATTTGGCAATCTGAATGGCAGTAACTTGACAGTGGAACAAACGGGTAAGTGTTGGCTACATTGTCGGACAACTGGACTAGAGGGGAAAACAGAAGCGTTTACCTATCTATCTGTATGTTACGTTGGTATTATTAATAAAATATCATTCACAGTCAGTTAATAAGGGGGAAACGCAAATATTTCAATCTTGAATGAGATTTTTGTCTTGGTGTTACATGCTATATTTTTGTTGACCTATTCTAATATGTATAATTCGAATACCCAAAAGCAGTGTGTCTGTACCAAGACTAGAAGTGTTTTTACTTAAATGTAAAGACAATATCAGCTAAAGTCTGATTGGCTTAAAGGGTCATCATCGTGTACGTGTAGTATTCTTTTTAAAGTATTATAACTTATAACTAAGTAGAATTTATGATAATGTAATTCAACCTCCTTACCTATGAGAACTGTAAACCAATTTCTAACAATAGTATCATTTTGTTATTAAGCTAATAATACAGGCTTTTAATAATCGAGTCATATCTGGTAATATCGCTGTACCAGGGTATGTATTACATGTACTTATGATAGATAACAGCGTGGCATTGAGACGTCTCCATCCGCCGCTTTATCGTCATCAGCCTCAGTTTTATCTAATTTCTCATGGCGTTCAAGTGTTTCCTTGAATAGTGTTACGTTAAGGACGTTTCCTGAAAATCATTTCACTCATTTTTGCTAACGACATGAAATGCGTGTCAATAATAGCTTCTAGTTGGAATATTGCGATTAAGAAAAAAACCTTGATATATGATGACCACCGCCCATGTTAATGGGTGGCATGGGTGGCACCACATATTGTCCTGCATGGGCAAGTATTCATGAAACCGTTTTCATGCTCAAGCATGGATTCTGTGTACCACCAATTTCCTTGTAAATGGTTCAAATGATGTGACGGAGTAATAAAATATATGTAGATATTTGCCGTGATATCGGGCTCGACGTCTCTTAAAAATTCATACAAATCATAGACCAAATATGAAGTGTTATTCGTTAATCACCGGAACAAGCACAGAATCTGAGTTTGAGCACGAGAACAGTTTCATGAATACAGATCATAAATTGCTTTTTAATTTCACATGTTAATCGTAAAGTAAGAAGTTAAATACACTGCTATGCAAACACCCAGTGCTGGACCATTATTTTATACGTCATGTCTTTTGTATGATTTAATTGTATAATAGGCCTAACCTAACAGACACGAGTAACTCGTCAAAACTGATAAACAGTGTATCCGAGTTTGTCTAGTCATATTTATGACTATCTAAAACGGACTGGATACTGAATCGGCCGGATTAGTGTGGTTCTACTTTTCCTTTAAAAAGAAAAGGTGAAACCTGTCTCCAAAAGCACTCGCTTCATATCTGGATAGCCGGATGGTGTATAGATTAACGACCCTTGACATTTTCACATATATGTGAACTGATACTTTAAAGTCAAGTAGAAATTACTCATGTTTCATATTGTACGCTTTAAAAAGAATCCCAAGGCAGCAGACTGTGTTCATGGTAGAATACTCATGCAATACATTATATAAGGAAAGCAGTGGAAGCATATATCTTGATCAAAGGCTGTACTCATAGTTTTATAAGATAACTTTTAGTGTCAAAAGTAATGTTCAATAAAACTGGTTTTGATATATGTCAATTGACACTTTCAAACAGATGCTACTCTGACTTTTTATAAATAAAAACGTATTTGTATAGTTCCTGCCTCCGTAGAGTGTGTTTATTCATGAACCACGCCATTACTCAAAATGTAACTGTGGCCCTCAAGGTTTTAGCAAACCTCGGGAACTAATCAGAGTCCACCACCTTTCATGTTGAACGATGAACTTAACACACGCACAGGTGATTTCACCTTTAGAATTTGATAAAAGATACAATATGCCAAAAATGAATTACACTGCCTTATTCCGTCTTTGCGTATTGCAGAGGTATCTTCTCTTGGGAGCAGGTATTGATTGTTACGTCACTTGTTTGTGAGAGTAACGTCATCAATTTTTGAGAAAACGACATAATTTTCTCGCACAAACCAATGACGTAACAATCAATACCCGCTCCCAAGAGAAGTTAACTCTGCAATACGCAAAGACGGAATACATCTGTTTCCTCCTTCCAGGTCCCTTCGGTGATGCTAGGGGCCCAAAAGATGGAAATCCTAATTGTCATTATAAAAGAATAATGAATTGACTTAAAGCTGGAATAAAACGTTAAAGATGACCAGGGGCAGCCAATGTATGTCCCTGGCATAGTCGGTATGCGCTACGTTGAGAATTTAGCAGATATGGTTATATTACAAATTGCATCTAGGTTTTTTACTGTGCCTTTGGTTAGGCAATGGGGTGAAATATACGTGTCACAGAGAATTAGGCCTAACGCGTGTAGTGCAGACGTCGAGCTGGCTTTATCTGGTAACGATGACCTCGTGGAATAACTAAGTTGTAACCGAGGATATAGTATATGTGCTTTATGGGAGTGTTGTATTAATTATAGATCACGGAATGAAATTGTGACGTCATTACTTATATCTTATAACAATGACCTTCACTTCTGTCTCATTCATTATTGCCTGCAAGAAAAATAACGATTTAACCAACATTGTGTAATAAGTGGAAGAATTTGTGGGACAAAATGTTTTCCGTATTCAGCATTGTTTGCAGCCTACTCAGATCTCAGCAAAAAAACACATAAAAAAGTTATGCATGTACTTTGACGCAAATCATACATGTGGCCGAGAACGGTCTAGACAGCCAAAAGATCAAGGTCACGATCATGTGTTGGTTCAATTATATTAATTCATAGAGAGCAATACATAGTACAATCAGTGCAAGGTCTCATTGGCTGATGGAGATAGATGTGTAGGTCAAGATCAGATAAGTATCCTTGTGTGCTTTTATTACATTTAGGAATGTAGAAAGATCAGCGGATGTCTATTTACGGAGAAACAGAATAGCATGATGCATACAAGATGCCTTATCGGTAAGCCATTTCCCTACAAGTTAAAAGCAACATTGCCTTGTTTTAGAAGATTAACTAGCATAAAGAAAAGCAAGCGCATTTTTGAAACAGTATTTTTACCCAAATGTTATAAAATATTTATATAATATACATATTTGGAGAGAAATAAAAATAATGATATTTGGGCAAATAGTCCGTATGATCAAAATGTTAGTCACTTCGATTAGAGGCAGCATACCGAGTGTTGACGTTTATCTGGTCTTGATTGTGTAGATAACTTTGGTATTGGCATACATGTATATATTAAATGGATTCTGCGATGTTAATTATAAAGAGGGTGGGTTGGCGTTTTTCTGTGTCTTTTGATCATAGGTATCTCACGCTTACCCCTCGTCAGAATAAAGGCAATTTGACCGGCCCGAGCCGAGTGGCATGCTACCACGTCCTACTTATGACATTTCAGTAAGATAGCACTGTAAAGTAGACCGTCCTGAGTGTGCGGCACTATGATCCGTTGACATTGTTTCTATATGACATTTCAGTAAGATAGCACTGTAAACCAGACCGTCCTGAGTGTGCGGCACTAACATCCGTAGACATTGTTTCTATATGACATTTCAGTTACAATAAATATTTATGCCATGATTAACAATTAAAGTCGTGAGCAAATGTAACAGAGTTACATTAGAGTATTCAAACAATGTATAAATTCCCGAGCTCCCACAATAGGTTGTTAGGATCTCTAACCCCCACGATCATTCCATCCTCTAGCTAGGTCCCTATAGCCGGTACATGTGGACCTGAATCATATTACATTTAGATAAAGGCATATTTTAAATGTACATGTTGGGGTAGTGGTAGCCAAGGCCAAGGCTAGTGTGTCTGACTGGCCATGTACAGTACAGCGCTGACGTTACATAGTAACCTTGACTGAGATTTTATTTAAAAAGGTTTAGTATGGTTATCTATAGACAGAAAATAAAAGGGCATTAGCCTTGACGTGGAGTTAACGCTAGAGTGGTACTTGACGTTTTTACACATGTATTACACACAGACACCCATATATTTTCAAGCTAGCAGTATACATGTAGTTATAACTGTATGTAATTGGAACTTTTTCATATAAAACAGACATATCAAGGCCAATATCAAAATTACCTTTAACCATAGTCAGGCTGATACAAGTGGTGCTTTACGTGGATTATTGTTTTAAAATATTTGCAAATGTCTCAAATGATTTTTTTATGCTTTATTCATCAGTGCATTAGGCATATACACCATTACACTTTTCGGTAGCATTTGTTGAACATTCAAATTTCAATCAGGAAATAATTAAATAGTATTTATGCTCGGATACGAATGGAAAACTGATTTGTTGATAGTATTGTGCTGTAAAATAAAACGATAATGAGTTTATATAATCTGAACAAAATTTCCTTATTACTGCGTGCAGTTATCAATGTGTAGGGAAATGGTACCTTTGGATCTTATTTACATGTATACTGAAACATCAGTTACTTTTAGTAAAACAAAGTCAACATCATATAGTCTTAATTGTAATTTACTTTGAACAATCGAAGTTTAAATAACTTACTTAAACTTCGATTGTGGTAAATTACAATCGTTACTGTAAGTTCATGTTTTTGTATATGGTGTGACTGACTGCACTGTAATTTTATCAGCAAAATAAAATATATAGATTCGAAATGAAACGTGTTTTAATTAGTGCTGTCAATATTTACAGCTTAATTAGGGGGTAACCCTACTGTATTTGAGATTTGTGCCAGTATATTACGATTAAACCCACACATTATTTATTTTTGGCTAATTAAATGCTGTGTTATATCTCAAATGAATAACTGCTCAATACACTGATGAAGTCTCTTAAGGTAACAATCCCACAAAGTCATCTATAAAATCTTCAAAAATGCTTCTAAAAGCTTAGACATTAATAAAAGACGCTACATTTAATAGTTTTGTATAAATGGTTTTTTTTTATTATCAAATGATATTTACAAAAAATATATGATATACACATTATGTACAAATTCATGTATAGACAGCAGATACTTATTTAGACACTGACTTTTTTCTGAAATATTTCAGCTTCCATTTATGCTCTCTACAATGAGTTTTTTGGGTGTTTTTTTCCAAAACACATTGCAGATACAGTGTTGGGTTTCTTTTCCTTTTTTTTTTTTATAGAATTTCACTGATTTAATAGAGCAAGATGGAAATTTAACTGTTGGAAACACACATCTTGTTTTGCCTTGCCTATCCTGAAATGTAAATTTTTGCTTCATGTGCGTCGTTTATACATTGATTTACCATCCGGAGTAAATCTTTTTTGCCTCCTGAAATTGCTCACATGATCTTCCTTTGTAACTATGTTTTCATTCATGTAGGTGACTTTCTTTCTCCTCGACCAATGTTGTTTTGTCTTTCTTTCTCCTCGACCAATGTTTTTTGTCTTTCTTTTTCCTCGACCAATGTTGTTCTTTCTTTCTCCTCGACCAATGTTTTTTGTCTTTCTTTCACCTCGACCAATGTTGTTTTGTCTTTCTTTCTCCTTGACCAATGTTACTTAAAACTCATAAGTACACACCCCACAGTCAGTAATCTTAATTTCTGTGTTTGGTCGCTCATTCATCGTTTCCTGCTCCTCCATCTGTCGTAGTGTTTCTGTACCCTCTATGATTTGTCTGTAAGGCAAATAAAATACATTATCATAAAAAACTTAAAATCTGGTAAATCAATATCCCTTTAAAAGGTGTTTACATACATTTTTCAATGATGTTTTACCACTGGTTCAACATTCAGTTTATTTAACTGATGTGTTTGGACCCCATCTAGCTACATAACATAAAGGTCAATTATTTGAAGAAAAAAACCCCAAACATGCTGTTAAAATCTATTTTAGAATTTTATGATAAATTAAAAAACAGATTGAGAATGAACTTAATGAGTGATACTAAATTTAAAAAAAATACTTGTCAGTATAATTGGAGAGGTAACAATTAGAATGACCAGTTCAGTTATGTCTAAAGAGAAACCAGAGAAAAGTTACTTATCAGTTCAATTGGAGAAGATGTAATTAGAATGACCAGTTAAGTTATGTCTGAAGAGAAACCAGAGAAAAGTTACTTATCAGTTTAATTGGAGAAGATACAATTAGAATGACCAGTTAGGTTATGGCTAAAGATAAACCAGAGAAAATGTACTTATCAGTTTAATTGGACAGGTTACAATGAGAATGACCAGTTAAGTTATGTCTAAAGATCTAGAGAAACCAGAGAAAATGTACAATTATACAATGTAATTATCTACAGATCTATGTCTAAAGTTAAACCAGAGAAAAGAGGACCAACTGTCCATGAAGGGCAGTTTCCAAAGCAATAATGTATGAACCAAATGTGGCTTTTTTCCACAGGTTTATTGTACTGCTGGTCAGACACTGTAGATATACGTGATGTACTTACCCAAAGGCCACATATTTGGTGTCCATCCACTTTGTCGGCTCTAGAGTAATGTAGAACTGTGATCCGTTGGTGTGGCGCCCCCTGTTGGCCATCCCAACTATACCTCTCTTGGAATGTGATACTGCAAAGTTCTCATCTAAAAGAAGTAACATGAACATTTTTTTTTTTTAAATTTCTTAATTATATCACTTTTAGATTTTAAAAATCAATATGATTTGAACGCATCTTTGGTTGTGAAGACAGTATATCTGACAGAGATGTGTTTGTATGATTATTATTGAATTTGTATCCTTATGACTATTGTGAAAAGTAGAAGATTCATCGGTAAACAAGTAGGGACATTTTTCTTTCTTCAAATTCCAAAAGACTCACCTTCAAATACCGGTCCGTTGATAGATTCTCCACCATTCCCTCGACTGTGGTATATATCTGAGGGTGATAAAGATATATCAGGATACAAATCACCCTAGATCTGACATCATACAAATACTCAGAATATCCTATAGCTCTAAATATATAACATCTAATCAAGATAAAGACAATGTTTTGTAACTGATGTTAATGATACGTTGCACTAATATTCAAAACAGCAATCTAAATAGGAGAAACACTACAGCATTAATTGCAGAATTTTATCATTTCAAATATTTTTTTCTTTACTTATTCATTAAACTAAAAAAATATTAATAAAAAGAACTGTAGACTCTATCAAGCTTCAAAACAAATTATTTTACAAAACATGTTTAGTCAAATTTCAACTTCAAATTTTTTTGAAATACAATTCTTTGAATATGAGTTTGTTTTTCTATTTTTGTGAATGCTATTTAAGGCTATTACTTTTGAATTCTAGTACATGCATAGATTTTTTCAGTTTTATTGAACATCAATTTATTGAGATTTCACCTGAATTTACTTGTGTCACAAGGCAGAGTTAACAATCTTTAAATGTTTACCTCCACCCTGTATCCAGCCTTTCGGGACGATTCTGTGAAACAGTGAGTTTTTGTAGTGTAGTTTGTAGTCACTTTCTGGTGATACTCCCTTCTCTCCTGTTACCAACGCTTTGAAGTTTTCACATGTCCTAGGGACTAGGTCTGTAAACAACTGAAACAAAAAGTTGTCTGGTCAATAAAAGTGGAAACAGCAATGACCTTTCTGAGCTATATCCATCAACTTTCTTTTCTCTCCGTATGTGACATATAACATTCAATTAAATGTGAATATAAGTTGTTTTTTTCCCACCAATAATGAAAATAATGTTTCTGTTAAACAATTGTTTCAGAAACTAGTTTCCCCTGTAAAAGGATAGCTCATTCTCTAACAAATTTATATTCAAGCAATACAAATAGTTTTATTACCTCAAAACTGAACATGTTTATTGACAGACTATCTAGTTGTGTAAGGAGATTATAAAACAAACTTGTGATCTGAAATAGCATTTCCAATGTCTCGATACTTGTAACATATGGCAATAACAATTCACAATTTTTGTCATGTTTTTGTTTCATTTCTTTTAACTAACTGCCTACTTCTTTAACAATTTTCTATATCATGAAAGTTTTCAGTCTAGTTAGGAATATTAGTATATGCAGGCTCTCCAATGAGTGTGGTTGGTTATCCATCTTGTTTATCTAACTTTCATTAGTTAATTTTTTCAAATTGTAAAAGAAACTCCGTAATCTTGTGTCTTTTACACCTTTTACGATTTGAAAATTAACTAACAAGAGTTAGATAAACATAATTATCAACCATCACAAGTTTGAGGACCTTTTTCTCCGACAATGTTTAGATCTTATATCTAGAAAACCATATGTTTCTCTTTGGAATGCATCATTTGTGTTTCCAATCCGTGGGAAATATTGCCATGAACTATGAGGTCACAATGGAAGACAGCATTGCGGAGCATTGTTACTTGGCATCATGATTAGAAGATTGACCAATGAAATCACTACCAGGGTGTTAGTTACTCACTAGTGGGTAACCAATAATGTTCACCAAACCCTAGCAGGTTTATCCAATGAGTCGGGAGTAGTGGTTGTGGGAGAAATATAACTCCTAGCCACACTTATGTAGTGGAACTAGACTGGGTCGATCGTCAGTGACCAGATAGCTCAATTGGTAGAGCATTTGTCTAGAGTTTGAAGGGTCCCGGGTTTAAACCCAGTCTGGACGTGCATTTTTCCTCTCCTGTTACATTTGGCGCCCAACGAAATATACCCACAGAAGGTGGTATAGGGTCTCGTGTGTCTTGAGGTCAAAGACTTTGTTAAGGTCATAGGAGTGTATTGATAAACGGAAATAGGAAGCACATCTCTAGTTGAAAATCCAATGTAGCGAGACATTATCACAATTTCCGCATATTCTAATGTTTAATATTAAACTGATAAATATTGCATGTTTATTATTGACAGAACAGTGTGTTCTCTCAATATTAAAGTATTTCAAAGCAATCCAGGCATTAATTCAGTCGTTTTTTATCAATGAGTCACATGTGTCCATTTTTCTGTACTTCAGGAACCCGGCTACCTATTTCACTACTGTGAAGTTTTTCAAGAAAGATAACTCTTTACATGCAATTACTATGTGTACATGGTTTTATTATAAAATGTCAATTTTTAAACGTTTATAGATAATTAATTTTACACAATTTCAGCATTTATTAAATTGATATACATTAATGCAATACTAATCTATGTCAGTATCATTTTTATTGACATTATTTTGCCTAAAATTGTGTTTCATTTTTTTCAAAACTCACTCCTTTTTACATAAATTTTCATTTAAAATCCTTTAAATTCTGACAACCTATATTTTTTTTGTGGCAGAAAATTTTCTTTACTTCAAAGTAATATAACTACAAAATTGGAAGAAATTCTACTGAGAAATGGTGACACAATCCTATTACCTTAAAGGAGGGAGGAATGTAGCGGAACTGGACTGGGTTGATCGTCGGCGACCAGATAGCTCAATTGGTAGAGCATCCGTCTAGAGTTTGGAGGGTCCCGGGTTCGAACCCCGGTCTGATTGTGCATTTTTCCTCTCCTGTTACACTTATATCAACCATATCATGTCTACTTCGGGATTTTCCATTGATTAAACATTGCTTGAGACTTTCTCAACTTTGTTTCATACATGTATGTACATTGTATAGAGCCAGTTTATTTATCTTGTGATGATATTCGAAACACATTCTTAAATTTATAGCTGATGAATAATTGATGTTTTGTTAAAAAGAAACTTAGTGGTGTTCCTTGATTCTAGACCAAATTTTACACCTACCTCTATAACCAGACGACCAGTAGCTTTCTCTCCCACCGATATGTCCATGTAAATATACTCATGCTGAAAAACAAAACAAAATTGTCACAATCAGGACCAGTGACTAGTGAAAAAGATAAAAAAAATCAAATATATGTAAAATAAATGAATATCGACTTAAACTTGAGTTTTCTTATTTGTTTCTTTGTTATTATTTTGTCTGAGTATCATATATAAACTATGTTTGAGGTCCTTCGTCATCTTCACATTTTAATCTGTGCAGATTCATTCAGTTTTCAATATTTTCAAAACAATTACATCACACATCATGTGAAGCCTTAACCCTTTCACCACTGTAGACCATAATGGATTCATCCAGATCAATGCATGGTAGAGTCTAATTAAGTTACATGGGGTTGAAAGGGTTAAGTGAGCTACAACATCCTAATGTTAGTATATAATTACATTGTTGCAGTTGAGGTGGTTTTTATAGGACTCTTCTGTAAGTGTTGAGTACAGAGGCAGTGGTCGGAACTCTTCAAACCCATAGTTTTCTTCCGCCCAGTCAATGAATTTATCTGGACCTCCTAGCAGCTGTCCATTCACAAAGCAAATGGCTTTGTCCTCAAAAGTCCAGGTTTCTCCTCTTAATTCCTTAAAAAAAATCAAAAAGAATTTGTTCAGGAGTCATTTTCTTTCTTTCATTTAGTATCAGTATTGAGAAATAGTTTCAAAATAATCTAACTTTTACTGCAATACACTGTATAGCCCGAGTTTCCTCTGGCCCTAACACCAGACTTAGACATTTTGATATATGGATGTCTGATGTATGTCAAAATGTCTAAGTCTGGCGTTAGGGCCAGAGGAAACTCGGCCTATCATATTCAATGCCATATTGATCAATTTCTTTTCATGTGACATATCAAATTTCGTTAACTTAATAAACATTTAAATATTTGTGATAGTAGTTATTATTCTAAAACTTATATATGAGAACTATTTTACAAGCTGGTATATTACGGTATACACAGTTTTGAGATTTGTGAATTTGTAAAAAAAATGTACTTGCTACACTTACAATGTATTCACAAATACAATACAAAATAATTTAGAGATAAGAAAACACATGCACAATATATACTACTTTAAATTTTTGTGACAAATAATTAACGCTTAACTGTGCAGGATTTTATTAAAACATGACATTATTACTACTGCTTCATGCAAAACAATATATAGAAATAACAAACACCCATAATCTACCTATTTAATAAAAGCAACAAATATATTCTACCATTTGATAATCATTTGAAGCTATGTGAAATTAAAACCATTTCAATAATATAAATGAAAAGTTGAAGAAAGTGATAGTGTAAAAATTACCTGAAAAGTTTTTTTTAATTCCTGAGAGAAAAGACATTTGATGAATTTGATATTTTATGAATGATAGGTGACTAGTGAAATGAATATCTAATAGCTGTCAACCCTCCCTCATTAGGAGGGAGACTTCCTCTTTTTGACCGGAGTTTACTTATAATTTCCCTCGAAACTCCCTCATTCAAGTACAAACTCACACAAACTCAAAATCTACATCCTGTGGTCAAATGATCTCCTAGTTACTGCAGGGTGTATGTAATGAACATAACAGGTGTGTCTGAATCAAATGAATGCTTTTTAGAGTTATTTCTATACATAAAAAGGGAAAGATAATAAATTGAGGAAAGCAGTTTCAGTCACGTTTCACGCACTTTCACCCTCATTGAAAATGTGGAATGAGGGAGATCTCCTTCATTGGAGGTTTCAGAGGTTGACACCTATAATATCTAGAACTTTACAAGTATGTATAAATAAAATAAAAAGGTTTTGTGATATCAAACCATGATATACTTAATTGTCAGTTTGACTTTTGATGATAACACTGATAACTAACCATTATAGTTATTTATGTTTCTCTTTTGTAGTAAATCTGTCTACATGTAAATGGAGAAATACATCTATAGCTTAATACACCTGTTAATAGTCCACAGCTTGATCAAATGCTTCAAGCAAAACAAAACAAAAAGTTTTAAACCAGAGTGGATAGTGAGTATCACAAATTTTGACTCACAAATGGTTCAGTCTTGATCTGCATCAAGCTGAGGACTAAAAATATAGATTCTAAAAATAATTTCACTGTATTTTAAGCCTAACTAAGCTTGTGGACCGTTCAAGTTTAATTACATTATATTTATTTATTCGTATTCTTTAATTCCTTTTTCTAATACATTGTAAATGCCAATTTCATACAATGTATAGAAAGAATCACTCATGTGTCTATCCAATTCGTGTTTTTGTATGTGTTTCAATAATTCCCTAGACATTAAATAGAATCAATATGGTTATAATAAAAGGAGAAAAAATCCTGTATGTTTCATGATAGATTTAGAGTAAACCTAAAGTAGTCTAAATGGGGATTATTGAGACAGATAGCTGTTAGTAGAAATAGAAATGAATTTTAAAGAAGTCCTATGAGATAAAATAGACTTCAAACTGATATATAATAGTTGATATAAAGTATCAAACTTGGTTACAATGTTTAACTGTGCATAGCATTATCATTCAAACCAGATCTTTCCTAAAAATATTTAAATGTTCTTAGGAAATTAATTTCTTTTTTAATTCGTCTATATTTACAATTTGATGTCGATGTATATTTTCCCAGACTCTATACATTGTATGAAAATATTTAAATGTTCTTAGGATTTTTTTTTTTTTTAATTAATCTAGATTTACAATTTGATATTGATGTACAGTGTATATCTTCCCAGACTCGCACACTTCTTCAGAAAACATTTATTGTCATATATTTATAAAGATATTAAGAAGTTAGTCTAGTTCCAATTGTAAAATTTACCTTTTTCTTTGCGTCGATAAACAGATCCCATTCAAACTCAAGCATCCCATTTATGACAGGCTCCACAAATATGTCAGAGCCATATTTGCTGATGAGGTCCTAAAACAAAACAGGTAAATTAGAAATTAGCTGAGAATGTTATGCATAAGTGATCAGTTTTAGCTTATGTATGTATCCTTAACAGTGTTATTTAAATCACTTATACATCAGTGACATAACCATCTTTCATATATTTAAAGCAGATGGTGCAGGAAAATTGGCTAAATGTGGCACATATTTTTAACCTTTTCAACACTGTAGACCATAATGAGTTCATCCAGATCAATGCAGTGTAGAGTCTACTTAAGTTGCATAGGGGTAAGGGTTAAGGTAACAAAAATATAAGTTGTTGCAATTGATTTGAAAGCGACTTTAACGTGAGACACATTCCTTGGGAAATTCCAAATCAGTCTTGTCAAATTTGCAGGAATTTATTCAATAGTGTCTGATATAAACTGTATAAAGTATTATATTCTGCTAACCAGACTGGGCCAAAATGGAGGGTGTTTTGGAAAGGGGACACTAAAATCATTCAATAACTAATATAAGTGCAGAAAAAGCAGAAGGGAACCTGATAAGGAGACAGACTAATGAAAAACAAATATGGTATTGTTAAAACACAAAATAAGAGCATACTTTATTTTTTCATTACCTCTATTCCGTCTTTGCGTAATGCAGAGTTATCCTCTCCTGTGAGCAGGTATTGATTGTTACGTCATTGATTTGTGTGAGAAAATTACATCGTTTTCTCAAAAATTGATGACGTTACTCTCACAAACAAATGACGTAACAATCAATACCTGCTCACAAGAGAAGATAACTCTGCAATACGCAAATACGCAATACTCGTACAATGACGACTACAGGGAGTGAGAAAATGTATGATTTTGAATTTATTCCCAGTGATGTTTCATTTGAATGAATTAAAGTAACACATATCATAGATTAGAGCATGGTGGTAGCCCAAGTTTAATCCCTACTATCAATGATTAAGCAGGGAGCTCATCCACCGTGCTTAGACCATGTATCCTCTGGCCTTGATACCAGACATCTATCTGTAAAAAAATGTCCATGTCTGGTGTCAGGGCCGGAGGAAACTTGGTCTAAGCACGGTGGATGAGCTCCCTGCTTAATCAACTCAAGGATCGTAGGGATCGCATTCTAATGAAAGAGATTTAAGATAGTTATTCTAATAGAAATTAAATGAATTACTTTTGATTAATATTGGTTTATCATTTTAATGAAATTTTGCATCAAGACGTTGATTTGTCCTTTAATTTAAATCTTGTGCACTGCTGGTCACTACATGTGTGCACTATTGTAAACTAAAGTGTAAAGGTTGGTCCACACACAGGGGTTCGTTACAGATGTCTGAAATACATGGTCACAGAACATGTGTGCTGTGACCCATATCAGTAAAGCATATGTGTAGTTCAGAAATGTGTAACTAACAACTGTTGTCCACACAACTGTACATCACAATAACCATAGGGGTACCTTACAAATGTCTTAAATACACGTATGATATATTTATATTCACACATAAACCCGTATCAGTATAGCATATTTATATTTCAGACATTTTTAATGAGCACCTGTGCAATGACTGATCCAAATCACAGGTGTTGGACACACAAAAACTTATAATAGGTACATGTATATTATACTACTAGCCCGAGTTTCCTCTGGCCCTGACACCAGACTTAGACATTTAGACAGAAAGATATCTGGTGTCAGGACCAGAAGAAGTAGTAATATTAATATCCGGCCAAGCGACGCAATAAATCAAAAAAGATCTCGTAGTCAGAGGCTGTGCTATTGCAGCTAGGCCAGAGGCTAGTTATAGCTTATCTACTAGTTTTTTAAGTAAACATAGAATTTAAACCTAACGCTTTTGTGGTTCAAGAAAGCATGCTCACTCATTTAATTTACTAAAGTACGTTATGACAACCAATAAGTCAAACCATAACGCTAAAAACACAATTAACTGGTAACCAGTTTTGATAACACAAAATCACATATCCAACGGGACTGACTGATGCGTTGCCGTGTTCTATTGCTGACCGCTATCAGAGCATAAACATTATTTCCTATATGAAGTTTGTTTGTTCGCTTAACTGAAATGATACCTCAAGACAATATCGAGCTCTCTGAAATGTAACATCGTTCAGTAAGCCGTTGATCGCCACTTTCTGGACTGGAGCCGCCATTGCTGTTTTCCTTGGTAACGTGTTGTTGTACTTCCGGTGCGTTCGTTCCATATCATAAAAAAAGAAGCAACGAAGGGAAGTAATTCTAACGGTCTTATTCGCTGTTATCAAGATAACGAGTGAATTGGAATAAATGTGAATATATTGATCAGAAATAACTGGATCAAAATGGTATTTTCTATTTTAGTCTACAATTCTCTACAGGTATTCACTCGGCTGACAACATGACACCTCCCTAGGTTTGTTTGTTTCTTCAAATAAATAGACTGATATTGAAGAAAAATTTCACTTCTAACGTGTTAGATACCAAACAGCATTCCTTAAAATAGAATGATTACTCTGGTTTATATATAATATGTTTTACGGCACGGCCGTTAGTGAGGGCGGAGCCAGGTTGTACTGTAAATGTATCGGAATATCGGTACTGTACTCTTTCAAGCATTGAGTGATGTGTTAAATGACTAAATCAGCCCTACATGTATAGCTATACAGTGTATATTACAGTTAAGTTTCCTTTCTTGATTTCTTTTTGGCTGACAAGATGTTTGATATCTTGAAGTTTTCCGCCTAGGCGTATGATGACATGACATTAATGTGAGAATGCGAAAGGTTCATTAGACTCTATATAAGTATTTAAATTTGCACCTCTTGAATCCATTGCAAAAATCAAGTGCAGCATATTCTACAAAGACATTGAAATAAAACATATTAGGATGGATATTGTTAATCATGTATAATAGCATAGTTATCTGATATCCACGAAAAAATATACATATATATATGTATATATCTTTACGAATAAGCCCTTTGGATTACTTCAAACTTAACTTCAATGATTTATCAATATTGTATCCAGAGAGAACTTATGCATAGTATTTTACAATTTTTATGCTTTTTATGTCTAAAAACTAATTTGTTCAATGCTATAAAAACTGGATTTATATGAAGTTTATTAAAAATAAGAAGAATATGCGAAATCACATTTTTTGTCATTTTTCAATACCCATCATTGCAGCCAAGAGAGTCATTAGATCTATATATCATATATATATTGTGGATGAATACATTTGTTTCAGCAACTTACTGACTATATGCTTTATATGTCTCTGCTTTATGTATAGTTTTAGCAATAGAGAAAATATATCAGTTCAGCACATTAAACTGTATAGATTTTTTTTTAAATCGTGCAGATTTGTAAAACAGCAGATTTTCTTTTATGAATAAAAAAAGCTGTGAGATAGTAATCAAAAATGAAAATGTTACAGTACAGTATGGATTCAATTTTTTTCTTCTATTTTCTTAGTGCAAAATATCAATTAAAAAATTCTGATGAAAATATTTGCATGTTTTTTTAACCTATCATTTTGCGTCACTGTGATAAACTCCCTTTTTGTTGACAACAACGTTGTTTTGTTGATATTCCGTTTTCTAAATATACCACCGCAATCTCTACCCAGAGTTGTCGTGGGGAGTGCAAGGACCGTAACTCTACGTGATAGTCTCGTTCAACCAGACTCTTGTTGTCTGCGCAAGCGTCTGATTGAACGAGACTACACCGCCGATATGATAATTTTTCGACCATTCAGAACTAGAGCAATGTAGCCGGTAACGTTATGTCAAGAGAGTTTAAATCTTTAACCAGAAAGTATCAAATATTTAAGTATCCTACAGTTAGATTTTTTTTTTAAATCTTACAAAAAATGTAACGTTTGTTCGAGATTCGGCAAACGAGAACTTGTTTCGAGATCAAGATGGCGGAGACTACAGCGCGTGCGACCGGCGGCCATGTTAAGACAAGTTTTTCAGTTCCATAGGTATTGTGAATATTCTTTATTTTTCTTACACACGTGTTACCTATAGGGAGAGCTTCGCTCTCACGGGTCCCTTCGGGCCCGTGAGAGAGCTCCGCCCTCTATAAATATAAATATTGGACTTTAAAGTGAGATATCATAGGTATCTCATAGGTAAGACATCAATGGAAAGCCTGTGGCTTGTAATAATGATATTTATCTGCATTTCGTTCATTGATTGACGGTAGAGTGCGTAAAGAACAACACGATTTAATTTGTCTAATATGGCGTGTGCTAAGGTATTGTTATTTTTTCTTCGAGAGGAAAAAAACCCAATAAGATATAGCATAATATGAACGAACTAGTTAGATATAACCATTTTAGCCAAGAAAAATAGTTTTTTTGACACAGAAAATATAGTCATACTACCCTGAACCTTATAAGCTGAATTAGTAAGCAAATTGGACTGTTTTGCAGACATGTATACATATATGACCGATAAAGCAATGCTGTAATGTCGCCATCCATTGATCGAGACCAAACATAAAACACATAATATGACTAAATAAAACAGCAAACACCAAGAGAGAAATTATGCACATGATTTGATAGATATTTAACGTGAGCATGTTCAAATCAGTAACTTTACCATGAGCAAATGTCTTTTGATAACCAGGGGAAGGTAGATGTACAAAGAGAGAAACTGCATGACAAGCAGTCGAATATATTTCAGTTACTAAAATGGTCATTTCACATGAGTCATTTGAGTGTTCCAACTGTTCAGTAGACAACCACTAAAGAATGTTGTTTTAATGTGTGAGTAAAGTAACGCAGGACAAACTTGCATTGGTTAATCTCAAAAAATGGTTGCGTCATAAAAAAAAAATAAAAAAAATATCAGGATTTTTTTTTTTAATATCCCCGATTCGACATTTTTCATACGTCTAAAGCAGGAATAATTTAAAACTTAATAAAGCAAATATAAGAAATCAACCGTATCTCTATTACATGTTATAACGAAAACCAGTGTCAACATCAGACTGACATATTTGATCTTTATATGTCGTTGTTGTAAACAAAAATCAATTGAAGACTTCCACTTACAAAACGTTATCAAAGCTATAATCATGTGTCTCGATTTCACGTTCAATATTAAAAAACTGTAATATTTTGAGACCGTGGTGTGTCCTTGTCATTGGATCAGGTCGAAGACATGTTTTTCGACCAGTGTCTTGTCTATATGAAGAACTTTTCCGATATTGATACTGGAAGTTTACAATTTGCTGTCAGCCACAGAATGCATAAAGAACACATGAAAATTAGTATTATAAGATAAACTGAAGACCGTTCAGCTACATTTGCCATATAACTATCATTGATACCAAAACCGTGTTTGCCTTACTCGGCAAGATGTCCATCCTCGATATCTAGGGGTTACGCTCACTTTCGCTCTCTTCACCCCTGGAATATGTCATAGCAAAATTGAAGGCACGAAGATAGCTGTTTGATTGGTCTCGGGTAAAAAAAACCCAGACCAATCGCTAGACTGATACCTGTCCTTTGAAGATAACAAAGGAGAGACGCCCGCCTTAAACGCCTGTAGATTTTTACCCTACGTGCCCGCGAGATTCTTTTGGTGTATATCAAAGGATCGAACTAGTCTTCTTGTCTCATCAACAAAGGTGACGCACACCGAGCCTTCATTTTTGCTATGACATATTCCAGGGGTGCAGAGAACGAAAGTGAGCGTAGCCCCTGGATATCGAAGATGCAAGATGCTATTCATTAAAAAAGCAAATGCACGAATTGATCTTGGCTTTCTTGTCCAAATACATTAAATCATTCAACTGTATATTCTCCTGGACAGCCAAAGATGTGGTACTACTAATCTAAGTCATTATTTACTCAACTTGATATTGCTAGTTTTTCTATGTGGCAGCATTATTCACAAAGCAAGTGCAGGCACGATTATAACCATTTCTCACTAACCCCGTATATTGCAATTGATTGTTAGCTTTTTCACATTTTATGTCCGTATTTCTTACTAAAAATCTTGAATGTTTAATTCATTCGCTCGTTGGCATTTTTTATTGTTACAATATTACCCTTTGCACTTTGATAATAAAACACACATTATTTTCAGAAATTAAAAATTAGCAACAAAGTCCTTCATGAATCACAATCTATTTTACACCATTAAAACATTGCTCCATTTTATTAAGTGCATATCAATAGGTGATTACACCCTTAGAATGTAATAAAATTCGCAATATTTAAAATATCATACAATCGAGGTTTGAACGCATTTAATTAAAAAACACTCGGGCTGCTAATTATGGGTTTAGTATTGAATAGAATTAAGATGGATACAATAGCGTACAATTACTTTTCAGCATTCCACCCCATTTAATCACAAGGTGAGATATGTCTCTTTATATATTAAAGATTATAATGGAAGATTATGATCTGAGCATAAAATAAACTGTTTACAACCTTTAAGATACAACGCATTGAGCCCGCAGTAAAACACGATTAACACACGGCAGGCAGGATATCTTTAAAACTATATGGGAAGATTATGTTCTCAGCAAGAAATTAACCTTTCACAAAAATTCCAGGTATAATATAATTGCATTTAAGGGCCCACCTGGTACGCAACAGGTAAGCCCCCGTCACACAGCGTAGTGTTATTTGTTAAGCATGTACATGTAACGCGATCGATACTCGCGATGTGTATTGTGAGGGATAGGTGGATTAGTAGCATTAGTCGTACTCGATCGGTGTGCCAATTCCTTGTCCACTCATACAAGCTAGCTGCTAGAGACGGATATAACGCACTGTGGACCGCGGACCGGATTGTATTTTATAATAACAATCCAGATGCGTTGCTAGGAGATTAAATTTCGTCTTGTCCACTGTTATTCATAGTGTCCACCTGTGCATATTCACTGTTGGTGTATATATCTGTTATCTGAGGAGAGTTATACCGTACCTGATCGGGACAGTCGACAGTCTACCTCAATGCTAGATTAACCTTAAGGTAAGGTGTTTTCTTCTGATTTTATTGATAATGTTTAAAAGACAGTCCTTTGCATATAATTTCATTAAAATTTCAAATAACAAAATAACACGAATAATCTAATACTTTTATATACAGGTACATGCAAGTTGTGGTTGGTTTTGTCGCTTTTATGTATGTGGAAAGAGGGGGTGTATGTATCTAGAATCAGACACAGAGATCCAAAACTTCGTGTCATTTTATTATTTTCTCTTTGAAACACAATATCCGTTTTCATTAATTGCCAGTTAGTTTATTATTAAATCTATAGCTAAATGTATGAAGTGTGAAAATAAGCAAGAGAGACTGGTAAATGAGAAATTAGCAATATATTGAAAATTATATCTTTACTGCAGTTTATCCATTAATTGGTTGTGATGTTCACTTTTTCTAAAACAACATTATCATACTTTTTGAATTAACTCTCCTTATTAAAATATTGCTATTGAAGAAAAGGGTGTTTTCAATAGTAACTCCATCTAAAATTTAGTTAACTTGTCGTAGCAATCATTTAATAGTGTAAGCTGTATCGTTTCAGGTGGCCTTATGCTACAGAGTAAGACTGCCATCCGACAGTATATTATTCAATGTCACTTAGTGGTCATCGTATATCATTTGTTTTGTTGTAAAACATGACTATGCAGCAAGGTGTTTTAGTTTTCATTTCAATGTAGCCATATAAACTCGTGTTGAGGCGTCACTTGGATGTGGCTATGCTAACACTTGTTAAGTTGTCACTTTGATGTGGCTATGCTAACACTTGTTAAGTTTTCACTTTGATGTGGCTATGCTAACCCCTGTTAAGTTGTCACTTGGATGTGGCTATGCTAACACTTGTTAAGATGTCACTTGGATGTGGCTATGCTAACCCCCGTTAAGTTGTCACTTTGATGTGGCTATGCTAACCCCTGTTAAGTTGTTCACTTTTATGTGGCTATGCTGATCCTTGTTAAGTTGTCACTTTGATGTAATATCATACGTTATCACTTCCTAGTGTTTATGTTTACTCGTGATACGTTGTGACATCTATTTGGTCAAGCTAACTAAACATCGGTTGTCATTTCCAAGTGACTGTTACACAGGATGTAATTTAGTTGAGTTGTCACTTTCTATTTCTTATGTTAACCCGAGTTTAGCCGTCACTACGTGGCTGTGTTCAGTCCTATTAGGTTGTCAATTCATATTTTTTGTTTATGTTGTCACAATACAGTAAATATATGTCGATATCTTTGGTAAGTTTGTTACATATGTATGTCAATTTGGCTTGTCAACATCGTGATGTATTTTGGTATGTACAGACTGTAATTGCTTTATTATGTTGAGTTGCGTATTCATAATGTTACATTATTAAGTCTCTGTGACGAAACAAGTTTGAATTGTCCCCTCATAGTACTTCTGTGTTGTTTATTGTCACTTCATGTTGACTCGTGGCTTTATTTACAAGCGGAAGGAAAGAATGACTTCCGCTTGTCTTCATATCAACTTGTGTTGAGCTGTTGTCATTTCAGATTGTCATTATGTCTAGACAACTTGTGCGGAGCTGTTGTCATTTCAGATTGGCATTATGTCTAGACCACTTGTGTTGAGCTGTTGTCATTTCAGATTGTCATTATGTCTAGACTACTTGTGTTGAGCTGTTGCCATTTCATATTGTTATTATGTCTAGACTACTTGTGTTGAGCTGTTGTCATTTCGAATTGCCATTATGTCTAGACAACGTGTGTTGAATAGTGAGTTCAGATCGCTCCTGCGTCCAGTTTAACTCTTGCTGAATTGTCACAATTTTATATTCTTTCGATGGCGATTCACATTGATATTTCACTTCAGCTTGCTCCAGGTTAACGTGCACGTGTTGGGATGTTGATTCCGTGTTGAGTCGTCACTTTATTTCTAGATGTGTGGAAATCTTGTCATTTTAGATGTTTTTCGACAACAGTCCGGTGTGACTTGTCATTTTAGATTGTGCATGGGTTGATTTTTCTTTTTTAGTTTACACTTCCCTCAGTGTTGAATTTTATAAAGTTTTCACTTTCAATTGTCTCTTTGTATCAGTCCGTGTTAAATGGTACTTCAGATTTCTCTCTGTCAAATGTTGTTAGGCTGAGGCGTCAGACTCTCTCTGACAATTTATGTTTAATCGTCAGATTGTCACATTTTGTGTTGAATTGTGAGATTGTGTATGACAACTTGTGATAGGATTATCGCCGACAATTGTGTCAAACAGAGTTGATTTATCACTTACAATTGGAACTTTGTCTACTTGTGTTGAGAACGTATGTCTCCGTGTAACATCGAGTGTGTTTATATGCAGATACAACTAAGATTTGAATTTGTCTTTTTGTTTCCAGGTTTTTTCCTCACACGTGATTGGCAATGACACATTGCCATTGACTAGCTGCCCTTTTCACTATGTTTTGAAAGTAACCACTATGTATTTCTAAATTTCAGAACTTGTAAAGATCATTTTGCCAAGAGACCACCTGAATCATCCCTGGCCATATTAGACAAAACTTTATATATAATTATCGAACTACAGATTGGCCAGGAGTGTCATTATGGGCGACGCTAAGACCATCCTTAAAACGAAGAAACTAGCCCCTCCCAAAATGACTGGAGGTGGACAAAAAACTACACAAAAAGAAACATACGAAAAGAGAGTATTAGATACTCGGTCGGAAATATCAGGAGACGTTGTTGGAAAAGTTATTTTACACGACCACCAACGGTTAGAAAATACGTATAAAATGGTACCGGATGAAGAACAACGGTTTAAAACTTTCAAGGTAGAGAATCTTATGAAAGACATGCTAAAACAGAGGTTAGATGGGATAACATACAATGGACCACAGTGCGGCATCATTGCCAAGGAATTATCTGCGGACATTAAACTGAAAGTTAAGGACCTTAAGTGGTCCCGTCATAAGGTCGTGGTACAAGTGCTGGTAGGCCAGGACTTGGAGCAGAGCGTGAATTTCGGAAGCAGGTGTCTGTGGGATAAAAACAATGATACGTATGCATGTGCCAGGTACACAAATGAGAATGTGTTTGCGGTGGCAGCTTGCTTTGGTATTTACTACGAATGACGGATATAAGATATAGTACTTTTCAACTAAAAATGTGATATCTGAGAAAACACGAGAAATGTGTATTGCCATCCTGTGTTTATTATGTCAGAGATGAAAGACTCGTCATGATGTGGCATTTAAACAATAGTTGAATTACATCTTCCAATTTGATCAGTACCGGTGTTTTGCATTGTAGGTAATGTTAACGATTTTTTTTGTTAGATACAAAATTAATTATGCGAAAATATATAAAAATCGAAAAAATATTGCTAATGGAAGAGTTATTTCATATTACTTTACTGCACTGACTTTAATTTACTGCTGTACTTTAATTCATTTAACTTGTTAACTGATCTATAATGTGAGCGTTGACATGTCATTAATGTATTGTAACTTTACCATTACACTGAGGATGTAATGAACATTTTATGGAGTTATTATATTAAAAATTCTATTTTCGTGCTCAAATTGAATTGTTACGAGTGTAATATTCTCTTTATCGCGAAATGTATTGTTAGTAAAACAAGGCTTTTCCACATATTATTGAGACAAGACAAAGAACCAAATGTTTCTGGTGTGATACAGAATGTGACCATTATACATCTCACAAAATACCAGTGATCGGCAGATTATCAAGCCTCGTGGATATAATAGAAAACACTGATGGTACCTAACATTGAGGAATATTTGTACTAGTAATAACCATTAGGTGCATATAAATCGTGTTTGGACCGTCTTTGGTTTATCTCTGGTTCAACTGGGTTTTTTCATGTATACGTAGTTTGTTTTCAGTTTCACGTCCCTAACAACGCACCGTGGCATGTTTGATTAGCGAGTGTCCTACAAATATAACGAATCTTTTGATTTAGTTTCCTGTTACTACACGTAGGAGAGTATGCTGTGATTCACTAATATGCTTCTTTGTATAGCTACACATACTTACTTGACAGCACAAAAGGGGTTGCACTTCACTGGAACATAGATACCAGATCGTATGTATCATTTGTTTGTTCGCTATTTGGAATCAATACACAGCCGTGTCAATCAAAGACGGATTTAAACTCCCTGTATCGATAATGTTTCACTATAAAATACCTCGTACATGCTTAACACATACACATCAATCAATATGTAAATAGTTCAACACCAGACAACCATCTCGGCAAACACATTCAAGATTGTAAATTTTATTAAGATTCAATCAGTTGGTCCTTCACTCTTTCTTAATAAACATGCTTAAGTGTCCTTACGTATTCTGACAATTCATAGAAAAGAATGACAGTTGGGATGGTGTAAAAACTAACCTTTAATCCGTAACAAATGATATATACAACACAGGGAAATTTACATTTGAGACCTGTAGGATCAGAAATCATATGTTGACCTAAACCACAATGATGTGACATTATTTTCTGTTCATTAAAGCTAGCTAAGAGAAGAAAGTGTAAGGCAAGACAGGTACCAACCAAAGGATAGTACTGATTCAGACTTCTATAAATAAAAGCGACACACCAGAAGAAATTCAATATTTTATTAAGCAGAAGTTTCGTTTTAGAAATTAAAGAATAACTTTACATGGTATATGATGCCGGGTGTCATATCATGTTGTGAAAAAACCGATGCCGGGTGTCATATCATGTTGTGAAAAAACCGATAACCATCAAGGATCTCGTGGGTTTTTATTGTTAATCTTTTTTGTTTTAGTCTCTCCTTGGTTCTTCTTGTTGACTATTGATGTCGACGTTGTGTTTCGATTATGTCTTTTGACCATGATTCTCTAAAATAAACATTTTTTCTGTTTTAATTTTACAATTGGTTGAGACCTATATATAACCTACTACATGCAGCTTTAAACTCGGAACATTTAACCTAATACGACCCTTACATTCGCTCAGTCTTGCTCGTGTGTGACAATAATATTATACAATATACAAGATACAAGAACATTTCTTTTTTGTCGTACATATGTAACATGAAACATAAGCTCTTAATTCTTACGGCAGTTCTTAACTCACAGTGTGGTATACACTGTACAGTCGTGGTACAACTAATCCTGCAAATACTGTAAATATTGCTATAAACTTTCCTCCTGAGTGTTATACGTTATTAAGTGTTTTAAGCCGACCTTCATAGTGGTGGTTCGAGCTAATAAACACATGCATAAACAGACACGAAGATATGTCTATTGTTATGGTTCTACTAACATACAATTATGCTGACTCAAATAAAAAGCAAGATTGGAATGTATGTATTTACCGGTGGAAAGATATAGAAATAGTACAATGCCCTCCTACCTGTTTGTTTGATATTAGTATTGAATAGGTGTCGACATGTCCATTTTTCACGTGAATGGGAAATTCATATACCGAAAGTGAAAAATTGATACCTTTAACTTAAAAGAGAAAATGTGAGTGATTATACGATTAAGGTTTTAAATAATTGGGTTTAAAAGCTTACACATCTAGTCATGACATTTGTTATGTTAAATGCACAACAAAGACACTGGTTGGTGGATGGAAAATAAAGCGTGGACTTTTCAATTAAACACAGTTTTCTTTATGCGTTATTGCAATAGACATGCCAGTCACGAAACCTGTTTTCTTCGTGGTATTGTTTATGATTCTAACTTTAATGTGATTTACGGTTAAAACAGAAGTCATTACTTGGTTAAGATTTTATAGAAATGAGTGTCTATTTCAAAACTAAATAAATCACTGTCTGTAGGAGAATCGAACACTGCTTTTTTTTTAAAAACATATACAATTACATATTTAAGTAAACGATATATATCCCATGGCCTGAACACCTAGGACACCACGAAGAACTAATGATAAATCAAAACAACACGACACTAGATATAAGGGTTACAATTTTTGTGCGCTAAATATTGTTTTGTTTTGTTTTCAATTTTCATGTTTGAGTAATTTTGAAAGACCGACCACATAAAGAAAATAGTGCTTTCTGATGTATCCAGCAGACCCTCTTGTCTTCAAACAGTGAATATATCATTTACCGTATATTTTGAAATGATGAAATGCATATGTAACTTGAATAAATATATATATATATATATATATATCACTAATATTACATGTCCTTATTTCATACGAACAGATAGTTTCGTTACAGCAGTGTTCGGTTTAGACAGGTTTCACTGTCAAAATCTCTATTAATTTCTAGAATATTTTACCGTTACTTCAGTGATAAATTTTTAATGTTTATTTTATTATATTTCATAAATTTACAGGCTAGAAACGTGTGGAGATATAATTAAAAAATCCGAATGTACTTGCTCTCCAAGTAGGTCACCAGGTTAATTACTTTATGGTGCACAGTTAAACCATGACATCTTAAGCCCTATATGTTTCTTTTTCTACAACACAGATCCTCTTTCGAATGAAAGAGTAGCACCGAACAAAAGACATGAATAGCAATCCTCTTATACTTATTGATCACAAAGGGGGCCCACTGTGGTTTATATTAAGAGTATATGACATAGTGACATATACAAATTACAACCAGGAGTGTACTGTCTAATTAAGAGTATTCTTTTAAGTAGAAAGCGATGCTTGGAAATTGGAAATCCAGTGATGAGTATATCTTTATTTCCTTTATACTTTTGATACGGTATTATTGTTTGTTCATTCAGAATGTCTTTCTTGATGATATTGGCAATATACAAACATTATAATCCGTTCTTAAACACCCCTCAATCGCTATGCTATCAATAACATCAAATCATTTTCGAAGGCAGTCTCAAGGAATATACGCTTATCTCGAGCATGACGTATTACGTTAATGTAGGCTTAGATGATCCGTTTTGTGTCCAATCCTTCTCGAGGACTAGGCCTGTGTATTGGGTGTATTTTCAGTTTAGCGTGGTGACCTAAAGGAGTAGCTACAATATATAAGTCGGATAGGATTATCATTGATACATACGCTTTCTTTAAATTCTGCTAGTAATCCCTCTTGAGCGCCAAACACTATCCGGACTACGTGCATTTAATATAGCTATCATCCAAGCTGAACACTCCTTGACCCCTCAATAACCTGGTTAACTGACCTAATTTATGACACAATCATATGACCCCATTTTATTTTGAAATAATATGCATAACTATTTTCTTATAATATAGATAATCACTTGGTTGAAAGGATTTGACGAATTAAAAAAAAAAAGGATAACCACAAAGGTATCATTATAACTTACATAAATTTCATTACGCCATGGGTTACGGGCCTATAAAAATCCACAACCAGCTATTTTGAGATAAAAATGTCTACCTATTCTTGAACACTAAACTACTTTCATACTTAGCTCAAATGATTTACAAGAACATGCAGGTCGTAAACTTCAGATGCCAACAGTACAGTACCATGCTATTCAATTCTTGTTTTTTTGTATCGTAGAAATAGTTATCTGCGTGTTATTTAGCGTAAACAACCTTTTAAGAGCAAGGTACGTAAAAACAGTAAAAGAATTTTGTATTCAGAATCATAGCAGAAAAAATGCAAGCTTGTATAACGCAGACAGATAGTGTTACAATGTATACATTTCAAGAGACGATAAATTATTCTGTTCTGGTACGAAAAGAAATTTAAAAGTAATCTTTATTCAATTGTGGATTACATTAATACCAAGTCATTCGTGATTGTGCTTGAATTATCAAATAAACATGATTGATGTGCTACCACCTGCTACATGTTGTATGCGCCCTGGAAGGTTATATATGGAAAGCTGAAACAGGGTTTACCTGATACCGACACCAGCAAACGTCAAATTGACGGTCCGGATCGGGTCTTTTAAATTGTATCATTTCTTCAATTGGTAATTGAAACTTTAATATTAAATCTTTCCCTTTAACATCAAAATATAAAGTTACATCGTGTCATTATACACATAATAACATATCATCATTTACATTAGGACACTGCTGATAAAAGATTATTCAGATTGTTTGCCGATATATTTACTTTTAAATACATTTGCCTTACTTTTTCTGGAAACAAAGACTTTT